CCAGGTTGTGGTTGGCAAAAAATGAAAATGTTTTTTACAATTAAAAAAAAAATTGCTTTTCTATCAGATTTGATGATTGATTTTTTTTTTTTTTTTTATCCAGCTCCCAGAATACCCCGGGCGACTTCACCCTTGACTACCGCCGGCCAAGCCCCTCCCACGGGCGACAATGAGCCTGTCAATGTCACCATCACCGTCCAGGCGACTGGATCCTAAAGCATGTTACTGGCAAAGTCATAGTAGTCCTCATTTTTTTCCTTTTTTTGTAGCCTCCAAGATTGCATCACTATTTTGTCCGTCTCATCATCTTAAGCCTGAAATATACAGTTTGAATCCTCTCTTAAAAAGAAAAATGCATAACACAGATTGTTTGGCATGAACATCTTTTTAAATAATTTATTTAAGATTTTGAACATTATATTTAACACTGAAGAGTCAACACCTACGTATAAATAGGTGCCGCCCTCCTTCATGGCCAATGTCAGTTTATATTTGGAAAGGGGATTTTCTGAGTGCAGATGATGTCGCACAGTTTCTGCTTTATCTTCACGAAGAGACGTTTGAACTCCAGACCATCACCCTGAAAGCACAAAATGATGATGATGATGTGCGCATGTATCAATTACCTTTTCGTTCAGTTTGACGTCATTGCTCAAAGTCGAGACTAAAAACCACCTTGGAGAGCCTGAAATCCAGCAGCACTTTCTGATTCATATCAAGCAAATGGACTTTGAAAATGAGCTTGTTGTTGCGCTTGTCGAGTGTGCTCACAGTCACCTGGGGGACAAAGATAGGTAAAAATCTCTTTGCATAACAAACACATACACACTGATCAGGGTTTAAAAGTCTAAACTGTAGTGCTTCTAAGTCATCAAATTAAAATGGAACCTGTAAATAAAGCATACCTGATTGTTGCATGTGAGTTTGTAGCAGAGGGCCAGGCTATCGCAGGCGCCTTTTAGCGAAGTCAGAGAGGTGTCAGCATTCACCGAGGTGAAGAAACGGGTCATTCGGCGCACTAATCTTTGCCACGGGGTCTGTGTGTCCACAAAGGAGAGATTTGATCATGAAAGCGTTAGTTTTAGTATTTGTTTTAGTTTGTTTAAATACATGGGGAATTCGCTGAGTGCATGATCATGAAAAAAAGTCACAAAATTAAAACTCTCTTCCACCGTATGGCAGAAGGCCGTTAAAGCTACAGGTGATGCAGAAAAACATCAGAATTAAAGGAGCCGGAGTCACCTGACTGGCTCCTGGCGTTCCCAGCAGCTGACTGCCCAGCAGCATGTGCTCGGGTTTGGTCGGCTGAGAGAAGCTAACCTGACCGTCTGATTGACCGATGAGCAGCATGGCTTCCCAACCTCCCATGGCAAGGTCGGGCTGGGAGCTGGAGAACTGTATCTTGTCATCGCTGCACAGACAAATACCGGTACGCTGACGATGTGGGAGCGCACCAAAAAAATGTAGCCGAAGAAAAAGAAAAGAAAGATTCACCTGCTGGCTCGGGACATGCCTTCAACATCAGATCGGCGGTGTTTGTTGGCACCCGAGCTTAAAGAACCTAGTGGCTGATTTACACCTGCATAAAATCATTATTAGAAATGTCAGGCTAACTTACAGGCTCCTTTATGACTTACCTTGAGTGAACCAGCGGTCTTTCTGAATGTCCGCAATGGTGATGCGTGCTTCTGGTTTGGCCAACAATAACTTGGACAATAAACCTTACAAAAAGAAAACGGCTTGTCACAAAAAAGGGGGCAATGCATGATTTATATATAAATTGAGGACTTACAGAGAGGCACTGGCTCTATTTTCTTCCAAGGAGACAGGTAGGTTTTCTTGTTAACCCAATCCAAATATTCCTGACAGATTTCAGCAGGTTGGTCCCATGGCAGTTCTGGCAGGGGAAAGAAAAAAAATCAATTTCAGAAAATCCCTTTGTTAGCATGGATTGAGTAAAAAAATAAAAAAAAGTTGACAGATTTCCTCAATAATTAGCTAATTCTGTGCAAATACTCCGTGAACTAACAGTGTCAATACAATGGCTACAAATGAGCTCAATTAGCTCCAAACTAGCTGCGGGACCCGCCCACTGCACCACCGTTTAATTGGTTTTGGGCGGAGTTACCATTTGGCGTGCTGTGAGCCTTACCTCCAGCCAGCATTGCAGTCAGCACAATGCCACAAGACCAGATATCTGCAGGTTGAGCTTTGTATTGGGTTTGGCTCAACAGCTCCGGGGCAACGTAAGGGAGAGTCCCGCAAAGACGATTCATCAGACGCTCCTTTCCTTTGAAGCGAAACATGGTTGCGAGGCCGAAATCGGTCAGCTTGAGGTTGTCTGAAAAGCCAAAGCGCAGTAGATAAAAATGAATACATGCGACCGTTGATGTGTTTCTTTTCATAGCGTGTGTACTCATTATGGTCGCTGGAGTCTATCCCAGGTGACAAGAGGCGGATGTATTGGCATACACAGTCACAGTTTCTTACCTTTGTCATCCAGCAAAATATTCTCAGGCTTGATGTCTCTGTGGGTGATGCCAATTCCGTGGAGGTACTCCTGCAAAAAGCATGAAGTGAGAATTGGATTGAATCAGAAACAAGGAGCTCACATGATCAACACACAGACACATAAGCGTGCTTCTCTCACCACAGCGGCTACAAGTTGCTGAAAAAATCTGTGAGCATCTTTCTCCGGCATTCCAACATCCGGCTCTAAAGACAGAAGTTTGATTGCCTGCATTTATTTGTCTATTACTGGGGAATGTACAAAGTCATGACAACTGATATAAGAGCTGCCTTTTCAAAATAAAAATGTAGCGGTAGTATATGGACTCTCTAATGCTATGTAGTATTTTAAGGGAGACCTTTATACTTGAATTAGTCCATTACAATTAACCTGTGTCTCACCAATGCGGTCGAACAGCTCGCCTCCAGTGCAGTACTCCAAAAAGAGATAGACAGTAGTTCCTTCCTTACGGTGGCCAAACAAACGCACAATGTTCCGGTGGTTAAGCATCTGGAGAAAAAAAAAACAGCACTAAATAGCTCACACACTTATCAATTGACTTCATTGAAATACTTGAAGGATTGCTTCACACACATCCTACCTTGTGCACGCAGATTTCCTTCTTGACATTTTCCGCACATTCTTTGGCCTGCAGGGTGTCGATGATTTTGACTGCGACCGCCTCCTCCGTCTGTCTGTTCACCAGCAGCCTCACTCTAATTGCAGAAAGGAACATGACAAAAAAAAAATCATCTACAAATGTGATTCTCAGAGTGGAGTACTGGGGTCTCTCTAGTGGTACATGAAAGAAACTGGTCCGTTTTTTTTTACCTTTGAAGTCAAATACATTCTTATATGAACTTTGACTTATGTAGTTTTTCCTGGCTTTCAACCAGGCTAGTGTCTACACCGCCTAAACTCAATTGCAACCAAAATGAGGGCAAGTGCTATAGAAAATAGATGGAGATGTGTTTGTTTGTTTGTTGCATATATTTTCACCAGGCATAACCATTGGAGGACAATAAAAACTTAAATGGGCTTTCTCCAGTCACGACCGCCACGACGCAATTTTGGGGGGATATTTTCATTATATATGCATAATTAACAGTGCAATGGGTGACAAACAAGAAAGTTTTTCCTACTCTCCATAAGTTCCTTCACCAAGTGTCTGAACAAGATCCCAGTCCTGCACAAACGGCACAGCCATGCTAAAAACAGAAACATGCATTATGAACACACTCGCATTTCGAAAGCTAAAATATTCATGTCTGTAGCACGACAGTAATCCAAATAAAGTTTCTATTGCCTCGTTCGCAGCCACGTACCTGCACAACGACCAGTGTCTCCCAAGTTTCCAAGTCTAACTGACGTTGAAGTAACACATGAAGCACACATAGAAGAGCCCACTGTGGTAAGTCTGCACAGAATCAAATTGGCGCGCTATTGTTTTGCAAACGTTTACTTCCTCCCGTTACGTTACTTCCGCCTTCGTTTCATTTACTTCCGGTTTACGTCCTCATTGCGGCACATTCGTTTGTTAAACATACAATAATGCTTTACGGCAGAGGAAATGTGATAGTTTACCTGTATGCCTTATAGTGAGTCAGACATTGCATATTTTTAACACCGTTACCGATTTTCGAAAGCTATATTTGCTCCCCAAATGTAATTTCGGAGAATTCTCGATTCACGACGATGTTCCGTTGTCACGGCGGCGTCTCCATTTCACCTACGCCGACGCAATTACATAGTTACATTAAAATATATCATTCCTGGCTTGTGGTGCTATCTATCCCGTAAACAAACCCAATATTTTACTAATTTAAATAAACAGCATTTATTATTGCCTAAATGTTACAAATGGGGTAGTTGACGTTCACCAGGGAACCTTTATGGGACGGGTAGAAATATGACGTTTCTTGAGTCAAAGAGATCATAGACATCAAACAGTTGGGAGAATAATATATTCAAATAAAATAATTGTACAAATAAATACCATCCAACACGTCTTTATTCATACAGCGCTTTCACAACAGCTGAAGTTGTAAAATAAAAATAAAAAAAAACGATTTACAGAACAGTTAACATGAAATACCAAAAATAATAGAACACATAACATGAAACATGGACAGTCATACAGTCGTAACAACTATTCCTGCATACAACTTGTTTGAAGCAGTTATAGATGAAAGAGGAGAGAATCAAAGTCTTCTTTCACCAACGGACGTCATCATCAAAACGTACGTGACGTCCGACATGTTTGCACCAAGCTAAGTTTGGAAACAGGTTTACCCTTCAGTTTTTATGTAGTTTATTGTCTGTGCCTAATATCACACTTCACCCTTTTATAACTCGTGGTTGTTCTGTCATGTAATAAATTAAAAAAAACAAACAAAACTGTTGAGCCTAACCTATAAAACCTGGCATATATATTCCGACCCTGTTTGGATAAATTATTATGAAGGTAAACATCACTGAAAAAAAAATCACAAACTTGTTTAATCTTTATATCAAGGTACTTATCTTTCCACCCTATTAGTCATAGTTTTTAAATGGTTGTGTTCCTTTACATGTTCCTTTGCAGCGCACCGGAGGAAAAGGATGGAGGGTGCGTGGGGAGATTCCTGGAGGGTCAGTTGAACCCGTGCGGTGTTCGATCGATACCTGGGTCAGCGTGTAAACAAATCCCTGCTCAACTACGCCTCCGTTTTTGGGAAATGATGAGGCGAGTGTACTTTGGCTTTCTCAAGCAATCTCACATGACAGGAAATACAGAATGAAAAGATGACCTAATTAATACCATAGGATACAGTAGACTTCATTCGTATAGCACGACTAAAACCAGCTACCCAATATAGTATTAACATTTCTTTTTTCTGAATATTAAAGTCCAATGCCAAACACACGAATATGAGTTAGTGATCATCGTTTCAATCAGAAAGACTTTTGCTTTCATTTTGACCAATCAATTGCAACAGAACTATGTATGACTCTGATATTCATTGCAACATTATTAAGTTTTCAGCATCAGCCCTGACAGTAATATTGATCTAATTCTGTTTGTCCCTAAAGTTAATAAGTAACGTCTCGATTCTGGCTTGTGCGCCGTGTGAGTTAATAAAAGGCCATCTCCTGCACATCTTTCTCATTTTTTGGTTCCTCGCTTGCTGAAGTTTCCAACATGCAGCTATCTGTTCACTGGGTTGGGTGTGCGGCACTTTTGTCTCTCCTAATAGGTGAGCTCGGTGTGTGTGTGACATTTTACAAAGCTTGAATCTGGATTGACTGGACCTGTTTTTAGATCTGGATGTGTTCTAGTTTCTCAATCTGTGCTCAGATGCGTGATAACTTTCCCTAAATGGAGAAATGTCCTGTGTATTAACTTAGTTTTTCATTTTAGTTGGAGAAGTGTGGTGTGCTTGTACCGAGGACAATATGCAAATAGAGGGAGGCCATTACACACTGACCAAGGGACTAAATGCAAGCAGCATGCTGGTCTACCACTGCCCTGAGGGTTTCTATCCATATCCCTCCAGAAGGCGCGTGTGCCTGCTCACTGGCACATGGAGCGAAATGCCCCGACGCTCTAAACCTCAGACGTGCAGGAGTAAGTAGCACCAAGATGATGCTTTTCACACCTTGCCTCACTCCGCAATTAATCTGAATCCCTGCTCGTCTATGTATAGTGGTTGAGTGCCCGAACCCCTTCGTGCTGATGCACGGCAGCGTTTATCCTCCTCAGGAGAAATACTTTGCAGACAACGAGACCACATATGAGTGCTACTCGGGCTACACGTTGCGAGGCTCAGCCAGGCGGGTCTGCTTACCAAACGGCAAGTGGAGTGGCTCCACTCCTATTTGCAGCCGTGACTGTGAGTTTACTTCTCTGATCTTTATGTTTTTAACCACAGTGGAACCTCTAAGGTGGTACATTCAACAACAAAAACAAAATAATGGGCCTTTTTGCCTCATTGAAGTTCAAACCGTCATCATAAGTGATGTCAGGTGAGATGATTAGAATTTTTCATTTTTGGTGGAGGAAAAAAAACCAGCAGGGTACCAGTGATGTCAGAATGGCAAAAAACTGTCACGAAAATGAAAAGACACGCTCGACAGTTGTTTTTCTTTTTGACCTCTGAAAATGTTGGCTCTTTAATTTCCTAAACAGTCACTACTGATGAAGCAACCACACAGATCAATATGTGTTCTAATGCTGCTTGCTAAAAAAAAAGACGGATTCTTTCACCCACCTATGCGCGCACCATTTGCCAATTTATTTTGTAACCTATCCTGCGTTATTGGCTGAAAAACTCACCTATTTTTGTGCTCTCTGAAATGCCCATGATGGCAAAAGTGCCGTTTTGGCGTCAAAGAACTATGTTGAAGTGACTCAATTGCAGTTTTAGGTGGGCGTCAATTCCACACTTCCCCCCCCGCCCCCGCCTATTTGCGCACATCCCTATCTCATCTAAATGTCAATATACTATATCAATGATTCACCAAGTGTGGCATTAGTAGCGCTAGTGGTGCATGGGCACCCTCTAGTGGTATTTGAAAGAATTACTGTCTCAGTACATTCAGTTGTATTTAGCTTTTTCAGTACAATACACATACAATTAATATTAAGATCTACTTGTTCTAAATCCTTAATTTGTGTTTAAAAAATGTTAACATTTATGTGCTGTATATTTCAACGGAATCATTTTCCCTATGTCAAAGTGCATATTGTTACAGTGGCTTACAATAATATCAAATCTACTGTATTATTTTAAACTGTGTCACGAAACAGATTATGTTCAACTTTGGCGGTTCCACTGTATCAGGGTTACTGTTGTGTATATTTAATTGATTTTGGTGCCTTTGAAATGATCGCACGCAGCAGGAAGTGATTGTGCCGATCCCGGGATCCCAGCTGGCGCCTTGAGAAATGGCAATTCATTTGGACTTGACGACAAAGTGAAATACAGCTGCACCGGCAATCTGTTTCTGGTTGGCTCCAGTGTGCGAGTGTGCCTGGAGAACGGCCAATGGACTGGCACGGAACCCGCTTGCTACTGTAAGCCAGGCACTGCCACACTCATACTTACACCATCGGGGCTCAAACAAAATCCGCACCCGGTTAATTAAGAGCATTTTCTTTTTAAAATTGTCAACTCTATTTCAAATGGACTCTATTCATGACATTTAATTCATTTCACCCTTGTTGGAAACATGCCATAGTAGTTTGCGCTTGTTCGAAACATGATGTCCTAGTGTGTAAATTTCATGATATCAGCTCCCAGTGACACAATCCATTCTGCGTACGCCAGGCTCAACGGTAGCGTCAGAATGAGGTCATGGGCAGTAAATTGGTGATGGATTGTGATTCATGAGTTGCTTACTAATAGCCTGTGTACAAAAGAACTTGAGTTCACTTTCCAAATAGGCCACTTATGTGTTCTATATTTTTGTACATATGATGCAGTATCATTTTATTTTTTTATCAACACTCCCAGGTGATTTCAACCATTGTCAATAAGTGAAGGATGGTATTAATCAACTGGAATTCATTCGGTGTCTTTACATCCTCAGACGATTACACTTATGATACTCCACTGGAAGTTTCAGAGGCTTTTGGCAGCGCAATTAAAGGCAGCCTCACCACTTTGGAGCCTACAGGTAAGCCTAATGATGCCCGCCGATGTATTTATCACAATAAAATGGATTGCAATCACAGCATGATTACGCTCTGCAAATAGCTACGAATGCATTTGTGCCGAAACAAAATGACGAGACTCTATTAACGCTTTAACTCCCAATTTTTAATCCATTCAGATGACACACAGGAGGGCAGAAAAATCCGGATTTCAAAAACAGGAACACTCGACATCTACATTGGTGTGGATATTTCTGAGAGCATCGAAGAAAAATACTTCAATGATGCCAGGGATACTGTAGCTAAACTTATCACCAAGGTAACAACAACAACAACTGCTGATTGTTTAAATAGGGAGCTTCTGTTGATGGACGCTGGCCACAAATATATATACAAAAATTCCCCGCAATTTTGCGGGTACCACATTTTATCAATTAGTCGACATTCTGAAAAATAAGGACACACATTTGATTATGCATGATGCTTCACAGATCATCTGCAGCATCAGTTTCTTATATAACTATTAAAAGGGCTCAACAAACCAAAAAAAAAAAAAGTTGTGTTTTTGCAGATATTGGAAAAGTCATCATAATGTCATCATAATGTGCTGTAAGTTTGGTGTGAAGCATTTAAGTGTCTGGCACACCTTCGGGAGCACATTTTGGCTCACTGTCCACATAACGGGTACAAACAGGGTCTCATTCCATTTAGCTGTCAGGGCAGCGTCCCATTACAAGTGCATTTCATTACAAATTACTGTTCGCATCATAATCCTGACTGAAGCTTTGGCCCGAGTCTCTTGCGTGTTCTCAGTGCAGCCAGCAGGATATTATTTTGGCTGATAAATGGCCCATTTACAAAGTAAAACACGTAAGCAATTAGTGAGGATAAGGGACATATTTTCCAGCAATTTGCATGTACTTGTGTGCTCATTACTAAACTTGATTGGTGCTTTTCTTTTTTTCTTTTTTTCCCCCCCGCCATACAGATTTCATCTTTTCCTATCTCTCCAAACTACGAAGTCGTATTTTTCTCCTCCGAAGTATTTGAAGTTGTCAACATTCTGGATTTTTTGGACGGCAAAGTCCAACTGAACGTCTTGAAGACAAAAGTGGAAAGCTTCAAAATTGGCAGTGGGTGCCCAACAGATCAGCCCTCTTTCTGGAAATGCCGTTTTATTCAACTGCTTTGTTAGGAGTTTTGACTTAGTGTGTTTGTTGTTCCCCGCTCGAAGCTGGAAACACAGCCGGAACCGATCTCAACTTGGTCTTCATGACCTTCTTGGAGCGAATGGCGCTCATCAAGCAGCGAACAGGGGATGACGGCTTTAAGGAGCATCGTCACGTCATCATTCTTTTTACAGACGGTAAACTTCATTCACCTCTGAAATCAGTTTCAATGTGTACACGTTATTTGCTCTAGTTAAAAAAAAATTATGAAGGTAAAGTGTTTTCCAATCTATCCACCGAAAGTGATTAAGAGGTTTTGATTGACACACAGGGGCCTACAACATGGGTGGTTCACCTGAGCCGACAGTTGAAAAAATCAAAAACATGGTATACATGGACCCCAATTATAAGCAGAAAGAGCCATTGAGAGCAGAGTACCTGGGTGAGTTGGCGTTTGCTCAAATGAGCTTGAGTCCAGTCCAAATGAATAAGCCGCTCTTCATTTTGCATCCTCCTTTCAGACATTTATATTTTCGCCATCGGGGCGCAGATCTTTGATGACGACTTGGAGCCTCTCACCGTGGGGACAGGTGGCAACCATTACTTCAGGATGAAGGACATCAAAAAACTACAAAAGACATTTGATGAAATTATCGGTGAGATTTATTATTATATTTTGCTTCCACAAGTCCTCAAGTGTTCATTTCCAAGATCTAATTTGATTCCAAGGAGTTATAAGACAACATGACAAAGCAGTCTTATCTCGTTTCCTCATGTACTTAAAAGCATGCTCTCCTTTGCTGAAATGTCTCAAGTATTCCTTCTTCTTATGTTGGGGCAAGAAGCTCAAGTCTCACTGTCACATTTTACACCATTGATTTGATTGCACTGCCATTTAAGCACCATTATTTGAGCCCATTAAAATATGGTGCATACTTTTCCTCATAAACGACACTGTTTTTAAAAAATAACATTGAGAATTTACTAACACATAGGAAGAAAAGCCGTTGGAATAAAAAGCTTTGCCCAATAGCTTTTGTCCCTGAAAGGCCACTGTAGTTGGGTGCTTCGAGACTAAGCTAATAACCTCGAATGAGCTAGTATAAGATTTTGACAGTCACAATTTGAATTACAAAAAAACAAAACTCAACTAAAAAGCTTTGAATAACTAAAACAACATAAATGATCCACACTACAGAAAATTTTTACATTACTTCACTACACTATACTGTAATTGCATTTATAGCAATGCTTTTCAGGTGAAAAAAAAAAAACATTGTACGGTAATTGTTTCCATTAGTATGTTTGTCTTTTGTCTGTGAAATATCATATTAATAATCATTATTTCGGCATGTGGCCTTCATTTGGTCTTAAAATTTTGATTTAAAGCAAGGTGTACTTTCAAGAATGTCATAATGAGTATGACTATGACAAGGAGAGCCCTGTAACTCACGCTGCTGCAAAACATGTCAAATTTTTGAATGTGCATTTTTTCCAATGGAATTAAATGATATTGTGACAGTTAGCTTTGATTCACTTTCAGATGAGGATGAAGTCAAAGGCTTGTGTGGTCTTCACAAGGATTACGTCACCACTGAAGAAAGGGAAAACTATCCATGGGCAGCGCAGATTGTTGTCCAGGTGAAAAATGAAGACTTTTTTTTTTCTCGAATTTGCTTTTCATGGTACCTCGTGGACTAAATCTAATTTGTGTCCGACTACTATTTTAAGAACGAGGGTCGAGTTATGAAGTGCATGGGCTCTCTGGTGACACCCATGTTCATCTTGACCGCCGCTCACTGCTTCACGTTTGAAGATCTGCCCAAGCACGTCACGGTTGACATCAACGACGGACAGGGCAGAAGTAAGATGACCCAGAGGAACCTTCCATCATTTAGCATTGTATTCTAAAAGGCTCATTTGCATTTACATCCCCCCACCCCACCCCATATCACAGATCACCGTATCCCAATTTTTGTTTTGTGCAATGCATCTATAGAAATTTGTGTCCCTGATAACTCCGTTGCTCCTGTTTCTTTCTCTCTCTATGACAGTCAAAAGAGTTAAGAATTTCTTTTTACACCCAAAGTTCAACGTTAGTGCGAAAGTCAACGAGGGCGTGAAAGAGTTTTACGACTATGACGTGGCTCTCATTCAACTTACCGAATTTGTGAAAATCTCCACTCTGGTCAGGTATGACAGTGATTCAATAGTGATTTTAAAAAGTAATGTTTGTGAAACTGCTCGCGACATTGTCTTCTCTCCTTGTTTAGACCCATTTGCATACCCTGCACCCAGGAGACCAGTGATGCTCTAAAACTGGTTGGTGAATCTACCTGCGCAGCACAAGGTAACCGAACTGATGAAATAAGAAAGCATGATCGTGTAGCATTTGCATGTGAAGCAAATTGTTTAAAATTGTTACATTTCTGCTTTGTGGTTTGTTGGCCAGTCAGTAAAACTACTATGTTTACTTTGAAAAAGAAGATCCTGTCATTAAAATAAACTAGTGCTAGAGGTAATGATGCAAAATTTTGAATTGTCAGTGGCAATCTACAACCATGGTGTGTTACAAGTTAGGAATTGAAGAAAATGAAACCAAAAAGCCTTTTTACGAATAAAGTAATTCGACACTGCACATTAATTTTCTGTGTAACTTAAAGGTGAAGTTACTAATGCACACAGTCTAGAAACATGTTAGATGTGACATGAACTGTGAAAATTGATACATTTTGCCGTGAAAAGAAAAAAAAGTGGTTCATGTGAGGGCACATTTGGCAACATTTAGAAATGAAAATGAAAATATTTTTTTTGTACTAATTGCACGCCCTTATCCTTAAACTAATAATGCTGAATTGTCTGCATTTTTTGTGGTCTCTAATTACAGAGCAGCTCCTGTTAAAGAATATGGAGAAACTTACGTTCCTGACGCGGAAGGGCAAATGGGTGGATGAAAAACACGTCCACGCTAAACTTGGCGATAAGGTGAGTTGTCGACAAATTTTTAGGCCCTTGTTCCCGCAAAAGTTCCCTTGAGCTAATTTGACCTTCGCCGTTGTGTCACGCAGAGGGACGAATGCATTCAACATGCACTGGAGGCACCGGGAATCACTGCAAAGAAAGCAGAGATTCCCGTGACGGAAAATTTCCTGTGCACCGGTGGTCGCACTCCCTTCAGAGATCATATAGCGTGTACAGGTACATCTACTTTTTGGCTTTTTCATTCCTGTGGAGCATTTGGGGGGCTCTATTTCTCACTGACGAATGTCATTTGGGGCAGGTGACTCTGGAGGAGCTGTCTTCAAGAACTACGAACATCGCACAGTGCAGGTGAGCCTTTTTTTTTTTTTTGGAGGCACCGGGAATCACTGCAAAGAAAGCAGAGATTCCCGTGACGGAAAATTTCCTGTGCACCGGTGGTCGCACTCCCTTCAGAGATCATATAGCGTGTACAGGTACATCTACTTTTTGGCTTTTTCATTCCTGTGGAGCATTTGGGGGGCTCTATTTCTCACTGACGAATGTCATTTGGGGCAGGTGACTCTGGAGGGGCTGTCTTCAAGAACTACGAACATCGCACAGTGCAGGTGAGCCTTTTTTTTTTTTGTTTGTTTGTTTGTTTGTTTCCTCACAGTTAAGCCAAATATGAATGTACAGCAGCTCTTTAAGTGTTTTATAATTTGGAACCCCTGGCCTGAATTTTTGGGGATCTGTGTTTTTTACTTTTCTTTTTTTTACTTAAGTAAAGGAAATGAACGTACTTCAACTCAAATACAGCGTCAGTGCTTTTGCCTCTGCTGTACAGCAACTAAAGGAGGTTCCACTGTATGCAGTCTTTATGAAAATAAAAACACAACTGGTATCTATATTTTTTAATTAAAAATATATTCTTTTTTGTTCCAGATTGGAGTGGTCAGCTGGGGAAGCAAAAACTTGTGCAAGGGCGGTGGTGTCGTCGACTCAGACGAGAACTCCCGTGATTTCCACATCAATGTCTTCAGGGTTGTACCTTTCCTCAAATCTATCCTTGGAAACGACAACCAGGATGATTATGCACCGCTGGAGTTCTTGAAGAGCTAAATGCTGCGGTTTGATTTTGTGGTTAGAGTTTACCTGAAGGGGAGACAAGGAATTCACATTAATATCATCGCGCATGTTTTTCGTAAACGTTAAGCCGATATCACTTTTTGAGTCACGGTAGACTATTGTGAGCAAGACGGAAAACATATATGAAGTCGTGATTTGAAAAAAATCTTGCTCAGTGTCTTTATATAGTTTGGGAAAAAAAACTTACAATATTGCTTTGTGGAATGTAGGTATAATGTACTCAATGAATGTATTAAACCAAATTGGTAAGTGAATTTCCATACCCATGCTGATAAATGTTCCCCTTTATAGCTGTCAAACAGGAAAGATTTTTTAAAAATACATTACTAAACAAATCAATGTATCTATTATTTTTTTTATCGGAATGAGAAATCCCACAAGCATGACAACGCCATGCAAATTATAAGAAGGCCTAATGAATACGTTCCTCGTGCCAGCGTAAAACTATAAAGATAACAAACATTTATAATCTGACAAAACATACTGGTCAGGCGCATTTTTTCAGTTATTATTAGCTAATTTAGAATGTTTTTTTTGTTCGTCAGTTCTCAATGTTAACAAGACCATCGGAACATGTTTTGACAGTACAAAAGCCTGAGCCAAACCGTGTTGTTTCGACAGCATTAAAGTCAAAAGTAATTAAAACAATTGCAGGCAACATAACGTAATATTTTCCTTCTCAGTATGAGCACTATGTAAGTGCATAAAAACAAACTATTTTTTTGTACAAAATTAAGACTGTATCATAAAAAAAAATGTAAGTGTAGTAATAATTCAGTCCTACTTTTAGTGTAGTCACTGTAGTGTGATTATATGTCGCACCTCGAGTGTGAGCACGTTCGCCACCTTTGTTCATGAGTAGTCGATTGGAAGTACTGAATAAAAACGGGATGTGTTGCAGGTGTATCTAATGCTGTGGGTGCTGAGTGGCTACGTCACGCCGCGTTCATCATCTTCAACAGTTTCTGTTAACAACTGGTCGTTAATCAAACCGCAAACAAGAATGCGCCGTGAAGTTACGACAAGGTTCCATTAAAAGGCTTTTACGTTTGCTGATGGAACGTTCCGACTCTCCTTTTGGGTCACCGAGTCGAGGCTTGTTTCCAGCTCGTCTGCTCGGGCCTGCGCATTGCGGACACCGCTTCTGGTGGCGTGCCAGCATCCATTATTCAAATCTAATTTAGTGGAAATTATTTTTGGGTTGGCACATGGTACAGTTTTGTATGTCTCTGTGGTGCAAATCAGAAGCACTTGTCATTGTTTTGTGTGCGTACGCGCGTGCGTGCGTTCTACGATGCGTGCGCTGCATTACAAAAGATGCACAGGCAAGTTTATGGCCTCGGAGGAGCTTATTTGACTTGATCAGCTTACCATTATGCTGTCATGGTTTGACTCAGTGGGAAAAAAAAGTACACTTCGCAATTCTGCCTATTGGCTAAACGTCCAACATGTGGTGAATTTTCCTTCTGAGTTTATTTGACACGGGGCACCGCCCACCCGCCTCGTGTGTGCGTGTGGGCGACCAGTGATGTACGGGGAGCATCCCCGCGGGAGCATTCATCTGGATTCCCTTTAACTAATTAGGACGGAGGGAAGAGGAGGTCAACGGGATGGCCCGAGACAGAGCATGTGAGAGCGGGAGTCTTAATTGAATGAAAGCCCCTGCTGCTCTCAGATGTTGTAAACAAGAAGGGCTCAGTTACCCAACCCACTTGTCTTCTGCTTAATTGTCCACCTGCTAACCTCAACGTGACACCCTCCCATGTAAACCCCAGACTGGAATCAATCAAACATAAGGGTATTAGCAGCTGCAGCAATTCTGCCTCGTCGTCCCCGTTCCTCGCCAGCCCACACAGCAGATTCCTGATGAAGCATCCCGCTTCCTCAAACTTCGGCTGATCTGTCTCTCTGCTGCACCTAAATCAACCTTATGGGCCATTTTAGAAATTACTCCCATCACAAAGTGCATACATTTCCCTTTCCTCCATTTGTGCTGAGAATAGTGCGAGGGGCGTCAATAGCTGCTGATCCTTGTTATTATCCGATTGGCAAGTTTGAGAGGAATGTTCGGAAACTTGCCGGACTCTGGCTCGTCCCGCTGATGGATTGACGTTTCTGAGTTTGAGGTGCAAAACAAACGTGAAAGGAACAGTCGGACAAGCGCTTGTGCACGTATTGTTCGTGTGAAACTGGTCACATATTCACTAAAGCACAATGCGGGAAAAACACATCCGCTGCACTGCACACATTAACAAGAAAATCGGGCCTGATGAAATTATAGCTGATTATTTTCACGTAACACCTTGGTAATGATAATCCCCTAAAGCGCCCGTCATAAAACCAAAAGTGAAATCTGCCTCGTGTCAGCTTTTACAATGAGAAGCACTTGCGTGATTAGATGTCTCTGCGATCAATGCCGCCTCTTCTGACGATCATTAAGACTGCTCTTAACAGATTACAGCCCCCTCCCTAACACGCACTGCCCCACCTCCCCCGCCCTTCTCGTCCTCTCTTCCTTGCTCCTCCTTTCTTGACACACGCGCACGCACACGCAAACATCAGCCTGCAACACACACAAGAGGACCTCTGACTCTTTATTTCTTCACTTGAACAACATTTTTTTGGGGGAGAGGGAGGGGGGCGGGGCACTTGGAGCATCCGATCGCTCTGGCAAGTTTTGGTTGACATGTGCTGATTTTGTCACAGTGATATGACAAACTAAGTCACGAGAACTAAAGTCAGATGCCAGAAACCATGGAGCGGCTCGCCATCCTCTGTCACCTCATGATTTCATGTTTCCATCCATCAGGAGCCACAAGCCTCATTACAGGTAAGCCTCTCACACATAAGCAATTTGTAGCATCTTCTACACACTCACTTGTGGATCTCTTTTCGGCGGGGACGTGGGGGTGGGGGTTCTCTTCATGACCGACTTCATGCTGGATATTTGCCTCCCAACCTAAAGCGGATCTATTTGAAGCTCGAGGTAAGCAGCCTAAAATTTGTGGATGTGGATACACTTAACTGGACACTTCGTGAAACAGACGTTGTGTCTATGATGTATCGAATATGCCGAATTTGCAAGGATAAGAAGGCACAGGTTGGACTGACAAGCGCCTTCAATTTAACAACATATTTCTCATTGCGCTGATTGTTTCCAGTGGTGTCGTGCATCATAAGGGGGGCTGTTTCTAATATTTTGAACCTAAGTAAGATGCAAACTACATCCATAATATAACACATGTTAACAGCGGACACAATCCATTCTATGGCGGTTGACATCTCAGTCGCTTGACTAAAATAAATAAATAAATCAAAATCATGACACGTTCCCATCATAAAAACAGAAATAACTACGATTAATGTTTCATAGTAACATTTTACCAGTCTTAACTGTCCTACAAGCATGAGCATGAACTTAATTGCCGAACTGAGTCAAACTCAACGTAAAACGACACCCATTTTGATGAAACGATCCAGAGAGCTCATGAATGGTGACGTATAGTGTGTTATTTGTCATGTCCCCAAAAAAATGTTACCCATAAAGTAGTGCTACCTAAGCGTCCGGGTATTACCATCTTCCTCCAGGGCAACACACTCTCCAAACATTTGACAGTTGCATTAACCATGAATCAAATGCGGGTGTCCAATGAGAATCATACCACTGAACCACCAATGCTTACAGAGAGTTAAAATATTATCTGAAAAGGAATTTTATAAATCGGTGATTCCGACTAGTCATAATTCCAATTCAGGGTACCTCATGGGGACCTAATATGCACTTTGAATTCACACATGTACCCGTCTTTGCAGGTCAGCGTCTGTGCAAGGCGGGTAACGGCAGGCCGTGTTACAAGCTGGCCTATTTCTCCGAGCTGCGGCGAAGGCTGAATTTCGGGGAGGCCGACCTGGCATGCCGCCGGGATGGCGGCCAGCTTCTCAGCGTAGAGTCGGCGTCCGAGCAGAAGATCATCGAGCAACTCATCACGGATCTGAGGCCCACCGATGGAGACTTCTGGATTGGGCTGCGGCGTAACCACGGAGATGAGGACAGCGGCGGCGGCGGCGGCGACTGCTCGTCGCAGTACCACTGGTTGGACGGCACAAAGTCTACATTTAGGTGGGTCATGTTTAGGGCAGCCATCCGCCAAGCATTTTCAGTGTCACCAAGCCTGAAGCGGATAAGTGGCATAGAAAACGGAAGGGTGGATCTTCACTGACATTAATGGATTGGTTTTAGTGTGTTAAGTAAATTAAAGGTGAAGAATGCCAAAGTGGCCTTTGGAAGAAAACGTGGAGTGCTTCTCTTCCCCAAAAGTAATCTGGGATAAGATTCATTTTACCTGTGACCCTAATTAGGAATTAAAAAATGAATTGGCTTTAAATTCACATTTAGATGCACTGCACACATTTAAAAAATGCTGGGTTGTTTTCCCGAACCACGATTTGCGAGAAGGTCACCGTCCCCATTCCGGGGTATCGAACTGCTTGGATGTAGTCCCTGGTCTTCAATTCATTTCTCTTCTACCAGCGTTCACGTACGGCATTTAATGGAATTGCAATTTTTCGTTTTAAATATACTTCTCAGTATATATCCGATGATGATATGACACTCCTTCAAAATGACAGCTCCCAAAATGCCCATTGAATAAGATCAATAGCTCTCTCTTAAACAATTACAGTAAAAGTGAACATTATAACCCCGGCAAGAGAAGATTTATTGCAGGGCTGCATTGGTTTTTATCTAAGTGAGCCCAATAAATAGGAGGGCGGAGGCAGTTTTGAGATAAATGACAGCGGCTCTGTGTACGTGCGCGTGCGTGCGTGCGTGCAGAAATTGGCACTGGGATGAGCCATCATGCGGCTACGAGGTGTGCGTGGTGATGTATCATCAGCCGTCCGCTCCACCGGGGCTGGGAGGTCTCTACATGTTCCAATGGAATGACGACAACTGTGAAACCAAGCACAATTTCATCTGCAAATACACAGCAGGTATACCTCACGTGTTCATTTGAAACATTGGGATGTGCTATTTTGCTGATGTTTTTTTGTTTATTTGTATTGTTTTCTCCCCAGACAAGTCAGCTGATCCCTCTCCTCCAAACTCCACACATGCAGGTAAAATGCGATGCCATTTGATCAGCCGATATTAGCTCTTCAAATGTTTTTTTTTTTTGTTGTTTTCTTTTGTGCGCTTCCCCTTTTTTCAACACATTTTTATCCTTTTCATCATCATTCTCAACACAACTGTAGTAACATGATGCATTTTTGTCATGACAGACACCTTTCCCTCATCTGTGCCGTGGAATCCAAGTAACCACAACGCAAAGAGGAGCACAGGTGAAATCACCCATTCAATTTACTTATTTCTCTTCAAAACAAAAAAAAAATATCTGTTGAGTTTGATTTTCATGCTCATTAAAACTAAAACTGGCGTGTCGGACAAAGGTGTCAAATCCTGGTCCATAACCCTGCCACAGTTTGTCTTTGGCTACTGCTGGTTCTACTCAAGGTTGAGCAGAAGTAGAAGTTTGACACATTTATTTCATATATTTTGATCTGATAAATCAAAAACGTGTGCTTGCCGGTGTTTGACGTCTAAATGCTAATGCCTCGTTTTTCTCTTAGCCCTGAATGTGATCTATATCATCATCCCCACCATTCCGCTCATTCTGCTGCTGCTGACGGTGACCGGCGTCTGCTGCTTCAAAATGATCATCGCACGGTGAGGATCCGATAAGTTTGACGCGTCAATCAATGACCGGAACCGTCCAAAGAGGAGCGCGTGTAGGCAGAGCGCACAAAGTCTTCAACATTAACACAAATGTCAATACTGGATGCTTATCAATCACGACGATCTGCATTCGGGGAGGAGGTGTTGGAAAAACAAAGCGGTATGCTAAATTGATGTGTGTTTCATATCTTGATTGACCTCATCATGCCTGTGAGGAAAAATCTATTTTGTTTTCACAAAGAAATGGATAAAGTGTTTGGACCACACACTAAATCTCTCGTTTCATCACAGTATAAGAAAAACAATCCATCACCGGTCCTTAATTAAATGCTGGATAGGAAGCATATTGTTTGACCCGCAATCTGTTACCTAATCTGTGAAGTTAACATTGCCTGCCTGTCTTGGTGGGTTTTAAAGTGATGCATGTCTGTTACTTATTAGTTTGTTGTAATTCTCTTTTCCCCGAGATGATCAAAAACATAATCTTTTAATTCAAATCCAAAAAAGCTCCCGTAATGATACTTGCTTTGTGGTGGGTTGCCAGGTTTACACGCACTACACCCACACCCACACCCACACCCACACCCACACCCACACTCACACAAACCTCTTCTTTCAAAAACAAAACAGAGAGAAACAAAACTTGAACTTAAAAACGTAGATTTTTATATTGAACGGGCAAAACTTGTCGAGTAGTTCAAGTGTAGGTCATGTTGAGTCTCACTCATGCGAAGTCAAAGTAAAGTCCCAAGTCCTAAAATTGATCCTTCAAGTCTGACTCAGGTCAAGTCATGTGACACATTTTTGGGGGAATCATCTCTTGCATAGAGCAATACAGTTTTGTGTACTTTGCACAGCTCATAAAACATTTGGCCTGACTGCGGTTGTGCTGTTCTGCTTGTGACAGACGAACGAATGAGAAGAAGTCAGAAGTACCCGGAACAGAGCCTGGTGCCCGTCCCAGCCCGTCCCCAACTGACGTCTACAATGTGATTCGCTCCCAGAAGGACGATGACTTGGTGTCGGGGCGCCCCCACACCAAAAACACATCCTTTCTTTGCTCTTCCCCCGACACCCCCACAGGGGATTACGACAACCTGGGGGGCCGCGACACCGAGAGCGGCTTCGTGACTCTCGCCAGCACTGAGAGCTGCTTCCTCAACTTCGACCTCAACGACCTCAGCTTGGGGCGTCGCGGTACGCGCGACCTCCACAACAGCAGCTTAGGTCGGCCGGCGAAGAGGGATGTGACCGACGGGACTCTGGCTCGACCCGGACAGTTTTATGACCGCAGTCTGGGCCGGCGCACCGCCAAGAGCGAGCATTTCGGCAGCGGCGGCGCCTACGGGGACCACGAGTTGTTCGATGACATCATGGCGGCGAAGAGGGACCTCTACGAGCCCAAAGTGACGCCCGGGATTCACACGGTCAAGGCGGACTTGTATCAGACCTACAGCAACAACGGCAACGGGGACTCTTACCAAAGCATCCTCGGTACGTATGCAAACCGTAAACCCTACCAGGCCACGCTGGAGAGCTACAGAAGTGGTCTGAATCCCGACGGAGGGAGGAAATACTCAAATGAACAACAGTGGCTCGACAGTGGGAAGTACTGATGTGTGTGTGTTTGTGTGTGTGTGTGTGTGTGTGTGTGTGTGTGTGTGTGTATACAGTAAAATTATGTCTGGTGATGGACGTGGGTAAAAAAAAGTTGCATGCGCATGGTTTGAAACTGTAATTTAACTGGAGGAAGACAACTGGATATTGCTTGTCATTATCAGCAATACACCCGGAAAGCATTCACAGCCCTTCACTTTTTGCACATTTGTAATAGATCCCATGGGTATGTCATTAATAATTATGACAAATTGAGATCCAAGTACAGAGCATTACAGATTTTAGTGAGAATGATTTCAAGGGTCGCTTAAGATGTCAGCTGGGATCGGCTCCAGGAGTGTCCATGACCCGAATGGGGACATCAGAAAATGATTGAAAATGGATGCATGGAATTTGGTGATTATTTTTTTCCATGATCACATATCCCTTATGTTGCAGAGTTCCTTGCCGAAGGGCGACTTTTTGTTTTCTTTTTTTTACCATGACATTACTAAGACGAACACAAATACTCTGGAAAGATTGAACATTGCGGTGCTGCATACACTGAACCGACGTCATGAAGTGAGCTTGATGAAGTGCAGTTTGTGTTTGCTTTTTATCATACTATAGCGGACAACGCTATGTAGAATGAACCGAGGCCTCAAACATCACGTTGACGTTGTGCACTCAAGAGTATTAGCATTCGGAAAAGAAACTGTGCATGGCATTTGCATGCCCTGTTGACGTCTCACTGATGTGCTGTGCCGGTCCATGTTCATTGGAGTCATTCCAAACCATGAGCAGAATGCAAGTGCTCGTTTTTGTGTCGTACAGTTGTGAAGCATCACGATCGTAAAACCGGAATTCATAAATGGCCCCTTCCTATTTCCTTGTGAATCAATCCGTTTTGATTCATCGTGCCTGTGAGTATTGAGGTTGCTTAATTAATAATGCAGCATGTTATTGAGGGACGTTCACCTCTGCTGATATTCGTAAAGATGCGAAATGTCTTGATGTCTACACCGCTTTGTATGTTTGTAAAGTAAATAAACAATCCGGTCGGCGACGGTGCTGTTATTTTATTTAAAAACGGAATGATTGTGTTCACAGTCACAGTTTTCATTTATTACCCATCCAAATTAAATTAACCACTTCCGTTCATTCTCACCAATCACACCAAACACAGTAAACGTTTTTATGACATGATTCAGTGAATCCTTTTTTTTTTTTTTTTTGCATTCAAGCCACACTTTGATGTACAGTACGAAGGGAAACACAGATATGATCGGCATCAGTTGTAAGACATTCAAAGACGCGCAAACACACGATTACTGCCAGTAAACACACCTTGGAATTGTTTTCGCATGCGCACGCAGGCACACACGCCCAAACGCACAGGCCCCGCAAATAGGCGCAAGGTCCTTAAAGCACACGATTACTGCCAGTAAACACACCTTGGAATTGTTTTCGCATGCGCACGCAGGCACGCACAGGCCCCGCAAATAGGCGCAAGGTCCTTATCTTCATTCCTTCAGATGAATATTTCAAAACACGCACACACACACACGGCAGCTGTGTCAAGTCAAAGGGAAAGGATGCTGTCGTATCGGAGCGAAGCGGGTTCCAAGATCAGCCGTGGCCGCGCGTACGCGGCTGCTTTTGCCGCCGTGATTTCAAGATGACGTAGCGTCTGTAGGTGGTGTGGTGGTCAGAGAGGAACGGGATATAAAACGCTCGGAAGATCGGAGAGGACCTAGGATTTGAAACAAAGCGACCATTTTGAGATGAATATTATGTCCTTTGTGGATTTGGTTTTATGATAACTAGGCTGAAAATGCGAGAAGACTTTTTTTTAAATTATATGTTTGTTTATGTACATGGATACGTGTGTCGTCTGTGTGATAAGCGAATGTGTAATACCTGGAAGCTTGGAGAAAAGGCTTATAGGCAATGATGTTCCACTCTTCTTTGTTGGCTGCGTAGCGCGGCTCACGTGGCGTTTCTTCTTCCGTGTGGAGGTCTACCAGGTAGTGGCAGTGCCGGATGTCCACCTGCACGGAGCCAACGTTGATCACTTGAGATTCCACGAGGGAGGTGGCGGAGGGGGAGAAGCGCGTCTTACATATCTGCTGGGTTCCTCCAGATTTTGGTCGTTCATATCAGCAGGTATGAGCTGCGTGGCTCGAGGGCCTGAGGCGTACGGCTTGGGGAGTTGACCTTTGAAATCACTTTGGATGAAGTGTAGTTGCCAGCTGAAGAGCGAGAACAGAAACGGCGACGGTTGTTCATCCAAAAATCGACACTAGGTTCATTTAATGGCTAACGCAATTCTCTTTGAACAAATGAAACAAATGGGACGGCACACTAAGAAAAGGATTCCCTGTCTCAAACAATTTGAACATTACATCACCATCGAAATGACTTTTTATTTCGAAATTAGGTGGGAATTAACTTTTTGAAGTAAAAAAAAAAACAAAAAAACAAACAACAAAAAAACCCGATACTTTTTTCTAATTTACTGACATGTACCGGTAAATAGATGTTGTATCGCAATATTTGCTATGAAGAGCGTGTACTCAAAGCAACAATCTTTGCTCTCTTTCTGTTTACTTCCTCTTGCGATTATTTTGGCAACCTGTCAAGGTAGAAAGGTCGGAATTAACTGTGGTCTCTTCTAGAAATGTCAAATGTGGACGCCATGATCACGAGTCCACCATGCCGTCCCGAAGTCAATTGCGATATAAAAGGAATAAATTCCGCATGAACAATAAATGCCCAGAGCTAGTCATTAAAGTGCGCTGTCGGAATCGTGACGACTAACTTGTGAGGAAGAAGGAAGCTGCTCGGGAAGCGGTACCACTCCTTGCCCACACACACGCTAACCGGTCTCCCTTCGGGGACCGTGTGCAGGGTCGTGTCCTTGGCGATGCGGAGGAACTCGGGGTATAGGTCCAGGGGGGCGTGGTAACCTGTCGGGAGGGAGAGAGCAGGCAAATAGTCAAGTGCACTGACCCGCAAGGAGTTGCGCCCGCCCAAAACGCACCTCTGAAGAGGGCGACGGAGCGAGAGAGCGACACCACGGCAAAGACCACAACTGCACTAAACGCCAGCCAATTGGAGGAGACCGTGTAGTGATCTAGTCGGTAGCGCTGAAACAGGAAGTGGTAGCATTTCTGCGGGGAAGAAAAGAGACCAACGTGAAAACGGTCTTCGCCACTGGCGGACACGAGACTGTAAACACACCTGGAGGGACGAGAGGGCCACGGCCCCGCTGAGGCAGATGAGGGGGTAGATGGGAAAGAGAAAGCGCTCTTCTTTGTGAGGCCGGGTGAAGAAAACCAACATCCACAAGTACATGGGGGCCAGGGTCAAGCAGTAGGGACGGCCCAGGTTCTGCACTGCAGAAAGCACAATTCTCCTTGAATTGTTGGAAACGCAACTTTAAACATAACTTGAGGAACAACGAGAAAATACATTCGTCACAAAGTCAAATGAGAATACTCGCTAACGTAGAGCAAATCACTCACTCACCATTGAACTTATGCAGAAGCGTCTCCATGAGACCAGTGAGCGGCAGGGAAAAGAGCGCCAGAACAAAGACCAGGTTGAAGTTCAGGATCCCGTTCACAAAGTAGAAGTGCCACGGCTCCGTACCTGGGGGAAAAAAAAAAAAAAGAACCCTTGACCTCTTGACTTTGAGACAGATGTGCTCACCAAGTGTGCTGCCCACTTTGAATCAGTATAACAAAGTTGTGTTGTTGGGTGCAGGCTCCCTCTACAGTCCAAAGAAAGCATTACAGCTTGACAATGTGCTTTCTGTGCTCATTATCTTTGTCATGAAATTGTTACGTAAAAAAAAAAATAAAAAATTACGCCATTGGTTGACAGAGAAGCTGTGTGTGTTAATTACCATACAAATCGGGCCCATGTGATGTGAAGACATTATACAGTAGAATATTGAGAGGGGCAACCACCAGCTTGCCATAAAACAAAGAGTCCACTGCCACCAAGGGACCCTGAAAAAAGACAGAATTTAAAGGGTAACTCATTTTTACAATCATTTATACTCTTAATATGCTCAAAATCGTTTTTTTCTTCTTTACCAGCAGCAGCAGCAGAGCAACAGCGGACCAGGTGATAAAACTCTTCCACTGCCTCTTTATTACAAGCAGGTCAAAAGCAATCGGCACCCTGCGGAGCAAACACACCAAAACGGCAAATACCAAAAATTATACTTTCATTTACAGGTTACAAGCAGGCATCCCACTTGATGACAGTACCCGATCAGAGCCGAGAAAGGCCAGCCAACGATGGTGCCGGCGGCCACGCCCGCAATGGCTAACGGCATAGAGTCTTGGAACCACCCGGTCATGGCGACCATCGTCGTGTACATGCAGAAGGAGGAAGGCAGGAATGCTGCGCAAGGGAAGGAAACAAGGATGAGGAATCAGGGCACCAGACGCACACACACAAAAAAAGTCTGAGGAATTTTCACAACCTGCAGATGAGCAGAACATTCCGGTGCTCAGGACGAGAAAAGCCAGCATCAGGCGGCCAACGTGCAAACCAAATTTCTTACAAACAGCCCTGTAAACACAACGTTATCGTCAATTGCCGATATATTGGTACGTACTGACACTCACCGGACATCTACACCATTACAGTCATCATATTTTGCCCTTCTGATGAAGCTAGATAAGGTTAAAAAGATTAGGGAGCCCGAATTGATTTTAAATTAATTTAGGTAATTGAGTGGAAGAAGACTGTAAACTCACTTGTAGAAATAGAGCTCACAGGCGCAGCAGCAGAACGCGAGGACACATCGCACAAAGTAGAACACCAACACCTGCAACACCAAAAAGGAAAAAGAGGGCTAGCTGCTGCGTACCTTCTACCGTGACGTCAGATGCACAAGACTTGCCTTGCTTGTCTGCAGCACATGGGCGTGCAAACAGGCCGGGAGAGCGTGAAGCCACAAGTAAGCATAGGATCTGATGGCATACAATGGCGAGTATTCCCACGTTTGCATCCCTGTGCCATAAAGCAGGTAGTGCATCTGTCAGAAAAGAGTCATCGCAACTATTACGGACATTAACGGCTCAAGACGGATAAAGAGTCACTCACCACGCAGGAGAGATGAGTTGCAAATATATTTAAAGGAGACATATTGTGCTTTTTTTACCAAGAGCTCCCAAGTGTCTGTGACATGTGATGTAACAATGGGGTGGAAGTGCTCACAAACACATTTTCACAATTATGAAGAGGACACAAGATTTACTGGGCTAAGTTCACACTTGTGGGTGCTCCAGTTACCTATTTTTTTCATACACTAGTGATTAAAAAGTCAAATGTTCGCAATATGTCACCTTTACATATCGTTTGTTTTTTTTTTTTTTCCTGACTCACAGGCTCCCAGTAGTTGAAGGTCTCATCGCAGTCGGAGATGTTACTCAGCAACGCTGCGCAGAAGCGTGCCGACAGCAGACATTTAAACGCAGTCGAACCTTCCGGGGCCCATACTTGCCCACCACGACTTATTGACCTATGAAATGATGAACATGTACACATATTGAGTTGTTGTAATATTTAAGAGGTGCTTTCCTAAGGGTACCTTACACCAGCCACATTAGGTAGACTAGCACAAACCATCCATCCATCCATTCATTAAATTTCTGTAGCGTTTATCAGGACATCGTCACAGATGGAGCCGATTGCACCTGACATCGTTTGAACTAGGATGATATTTTCTGCAGGTTGCCTACTTGTGCATGCCTTGCACCAACATCATGACTGCGAATGTAGCCGAGCAAGAATGAAATTAACCAACTGGCGTCAACAATGATGCAATTGTTTTGAAAGCGAAAACAGAGTGTAATATTTAAGAGGTGCTTTCCTAAGGGTACCTTTCACCAGCCACAACAGTGGGTAGACTAGCACAAACCATCCATCCATTCATTAAATTTCTGTAGCGTTTATCAGGACATCGTCACAGATGGAGCCGATTGCACCTGACATCGTTTGAACTAGGATGATATTTTCTGCAGGTTGCCTACTTGTGCATGCCTTGCACCAACATCATGACTGCGAATGTAGCCGAGCAAGAATGAAATTAACCAACTGGCGTCAACAATGATGCAATTGTTTTGAAAGCGAAAACAGAGAATATAAATGGTTATAAAATATGCACGGATCAATTGCTGTTGTCATGAAATTGGAATCAAAGTATCGAGCGGGCTAGCTTGTTAGCTCCCCTGCCCGAGCTGTCAGTCAACCCAGGGATGGACATGACAACAGCGGCGTGTCTTCTGTCGCTCGTCCCCGCCTCATACTCACTCTTGCCTAGTCTCTGTGTCCTTACTGTCTTCACCCCCTTTCTCCTCTTTCGACATCCGAGCCTCTGTGGAGACGTTAACATTGTTCGCATCTTGTCTGCTGCCTCTTCTGCTTCGCTGACGTAGCGCCTTGGCCGCCATGTTTAACGACGAGCCTCCTCCGAGTCACCCTTCGTTCATTTCCGTCCATGCTCGACGGGCGTCCTACGAGTCGCCCTTCGTTCATTTCCGTCAATGCTCGGCTTGTGAAAGGTCGTGCTCGGGACACGGACTTGAGCCTCTGATTGGTCAATACAGGAGAGTCAATCTTGAATTGAAACGTTGATCTTCGTTTGTCGCTTCTTAAATTTCAGAGCACTCTAATTGATTAGAAATTTGATTTTGAAAACAAAAAATTAATCAAACAATCCACAGTAGACGATGAAATCTCAATGACGGGTTTCATCTCTGTTGCTAAACAATTTAAGAATATCTCTGTTAACGTTAACTTTGTTCATGATTTGTGCTGTTTGAAATGTAAATATGTGCGTATATTTTCATTATTGAGTGTGACAAGACATCCCTTCAAATACTTCATTTATTGTAAACATATGGCTATATAGTCCTGCAGTTTGATGCACTTGTTCCTTGCGTTTAACATTTTACAATTTTTGGATGTAACGTGTTCCAAAGTTTTATTATGTAATACACAGTATAAGACCCTACTTTGTTTTCTTGCATATATTGCACAACGCGCTGAAATTACATTTATCATCATTTTGGCTCAGGGTCTTGTTGAGCATGTAACTCAAATATGAAATATCATTAGTTCATAAATATATGAATAAAACACTGGGATGTGGTCTTATTTACATTTTCCCTGTAGTTTGTACCACTTAGCTTTAGAGCAGTGCTTCCCAACCACTGTCCACTACAAAAAAAAACATATCCCAAAACCGCATCATCATCATTTTTTCAGGACATACAGATAGAGTATACAGTACTTTGACGGTGTGCCGTGAGATTTTTAGGATGGAAAACATGCCTTGGATGAATGAAGGCTGAGAAGCACTGCTTTCGAGCACTCTGGTGATAATGCTCAATCACACTTTGGCGCACACAACAGTCCTTGCTCAACGACATACCCTGATAAACATAATGAAAACACAGTTTCACATTTGACTTATATTAGGATTCCAATTTGCAGGTAATTACAACTCTCTAAAAAGAAATCACATTTAGCAGCCAAACCGATGAATAAATATTAGCTGCTACCTAATTGTGACTTCCAAGCATTCGGACAGCAATGACTCCAAGCGTTTGTGAAACTGCAGGGCTTGTGTGTGTGACAATGCATGTGTGTGTGAGTGGTAAATCAGCCTGTAGCAGTAGCTGGTCTGGCTCAGATCCGGATGTGAAAACTTATCAATGAGTTTAACATGCTCCACAGTCCCGCAGGAGGCCACTCGGACCAGCGCGTAGAATTTCTTCTCCTCCCACGCCGTCTCGGTCCAGAAGCTGATGTCAAAGCTGAAGAGCTCAGGGAACAGGGAAAATGCGGTAAAAGGTGTCCCAGGTGTTGGACGGATGACAAACTGCTGTGAAAAGCGTGGGTCACGTGACCAGAGCAGACGCCAGTCTGGGAGTGAGAACATGAGCACGGCGAGGAGGTCCAAATTTAAAGACACAGTCATGCTGAGGAGGCTGACGTCATTGATGTTATTTGTGAGTACTTTACCGATGAAACCCATTGGCTGTGCCATCACATGCAGCTCTTCCTGCTTGGTAACCATGGAGATGCCATAGGGAGCGAGCAGCGCTCCCAAAGTTTGCTCAAGAACTTTTACTGGCTCGTACTTTTTAGGGAGAACACCAGTAAGAAGGAGCTCGTGGAAGACGGGCAGAGCCCAGGGGTTGGCTGGAACATTTCGGAACACCAGACCACTGATGCCACACAGCAGGTTCGTCACACCATTCCAATGCCCACTCTGCTCCAGATTAATTCCTTTAATATGTTTATTTTCCATTTCTGTCTCGCCACTGGTCCACTCTTCTTTCTTCGCGACCATGGCTTCCATCAGGGGGCGCAGAGAAGGACGCAAGAAATAGAGAGCAGTTTCACCCTTGAGATCACCATCAGGAAAGCATAATGACCTTATCCCATCCACCCCCTTACTACTCAACACCTTGTCCGCTTGCTTTGAGATAGCACAAGGCCCTCTAGCCTGACCCTCCAACTCATCTGTGGATGTACAAGCCTCACAGCTCAGCTCTTTCTGACAGATGTGAATCCGGTAGAGCAACGTGTGGTCTATATCAGGGCAGTACAAATGCAACTGTTTTGCTCTGAGGAGGACCGGAAGGGTCTCTGTCACCATGGAGACCGCCCACTTTTCTTGTAGCTTTTCGAGAAGAAAATCCTGCACCAATTTGACAGGATGGACAGAATCCGAGGTGAGAAACCCCCTAAAGAGAGGAAAACGTCATCAAAATCTGTTCATTAACTTTTATGAAATCCTCAGAAAATAAATAATAGAAAATATGACACAGAGTGTTGAGGTTATAATACCGGGACGTGTATTCACTGAGTTCTGCTGGTATGTTGTATTGGACCTTTTCTCCTTCCACAGTTTCCTCCATTTTAAACACTTGAGGGGAGCTGAAGGGGGTGCTACGAGTAAACACGTGGAGCAAAGCATTCTCCAAATGGAAGCCTTTATCCTGACTCCTGTGGAAGAATGAAACTGACATCAAAACAACTTCCAATCTCACATTAAATGAACAACTTGCCTGTTTGAACACTCACCTTACCTGTATCCTGTGCATTTGTAGCTTTGGTATTTGTCACTCTCAAAAGGGCGTACATCACTGAGGACGAGGTGTGCCTCTGCAGCCATGGCGACTACCTGCCAGCTGTTGTGCCGCTCTCGCCTAGGCTGGTCAGCCGGCGTCCCGCCCTGTCCGTTGCATAGGGAAACGTGAACCTCCCCATCTTCGGCTAACACCTGAACGCAACTGGAGGAGCAATGACACAAAAGGGACATTTGGATGGGTTTGGACAGAGTTTGGATAAATGGTCCAGACATAAGACATTACGTAGTCCTATTACGTCGCGGCCATTTAAAGTTCCTCTGATTCACCTCAAATGAAGTCCAGATTCTCTAGTAGTCTTTAACTGACATTTTTAACCAAATAAACATGTCAGCTAAAATGAAACTTTTAATTGTCTTTTAATGACAGTCAGCGTGCGAGTACATCTGCAAAACCTGTATCCATCGTTGGGATTCAATTTTACCTGAGAAAAAAGTCTTTAAGAAGTTGCCTGTTCTTTTTAACGCCACTCTTTCTCCCGCAGTGTGGGAAATTAAAGTGCACACGGTCAAACAATTGCCCTTGCAGTGATGCACATTCCCCCAGCTTTGTGCTGTCAACCTCAAAAAGCACCTTTCCACCTGGCAAAAAAAAAGGCAGAGCACAATATAACATATGTAACGAAACCGTACTGCACTGATATAAAAAAACTCAACAATCCAAATCCTCACCTGAGTCCTTGATAGTCTGCATGTTATTGAATGCACCTTCCTGCCGCAGTGCCTCCTCCTGCGGCTGCAGACAAGTGGCCGTGACGCGTACCTCCGATGGTAAGCGGCACAAAGCAGCAGAAAACGAAAAGTTCCCTTCTCCCACCAGCAAGATTGACGGTGAACGAGACATATCTATTAACCAGAAAATGAGGAAAAAACGATTCTACAGGTTTCTAAAAAAAAAAAAAAAGTAATCTCCCGTTCTTGTCGCAAAGGAAACGCGCGTGGGGGTTTGATTTTAAACAGACTCAATTTTAAAAAGTGATTTGTAGTTTTAGTGGTTAAAACGAGTTTTCCCGTCTTGTAGCTAAAACCGGGTGACCTTCCTGTGAATTACGGTGCCGATCAGGACGCAAAAGATCAAGATTAATCTCACCTACAGCCAGAATGGGTATAACGTGTTTCAACTATAGTAGTCCGACCAAAAACAAGGCTGGTCACGTTCTTCCCAAAGTAAAAAAGAAACTATATATTTACAAAATTGATTTAAAATGTGAGTTATAATCAATTCAATTATTAAAAAAAATATATATTTAGAAACCAGTTGAAGTACGCCAAGGCGTTCTGGTCATGTTTCCGAGGGACATGTTATGTAGTGACACAGAAAAACTGGATCAGTTCCTACATTTTTTTTTCTAGCCATTCTTCACATTTACTCAATTTGGCAGTTTTCCCAATGTATCGCGCCAGGGTTTTCCCAGGAATTTAAGGTATTTTAATCCGGTCTGAGGTCGCCATTTTAACAAAAACTGAATTTAGGCTTCCGCTTTTGCTGGATGCTAAGGTCATGTAAGCTAACGGTACTGATGCACTCGAGCATAACATATTCTAATTGTTTCACATTGACGTGACAACGTTTACAATTCAATGTCTACATAAATAGCAACTGTATTTAATCTGCACTGTAAATTATTTTAACTGAACAAACTGTTGTCATGCTTATTTGAACTGTTCCCATGTACATTTACCAACCACTGTATTACGTGCACCTGCAAATTGTAGTCATAATAAAAACGCTTATAAGCTCTTATATCAAGTATCATGAAATTATTCTGGTGTACTTAATGTTGTGCACGGTATGTGCGGATTAGATGTTTGTAAAATGAAAGTGACAAGAAAAAGGTGTTTTTCATTTCTTCCAGGAAGCGTTGCAGCCCCATGGGCAGTGTTCTGGCTTTGTCTTCCGGTCCAGGCCAACAGAATTGGCCTTTTTCTACGGACCCCCCTCCTTCTCGCTGGGACGCACATCCTGCTCACTGGTATAGCCCGCCACGCTGGGAGAGGAGAGATGGACGACTACCTAACCCTGGCAGCTTTCACTCCCTGCACAGGAGTTGCAAAGGTTTGCCTGAAATACAATTTCAACAACCAAAAAGGTTTACCTTTTTAAACAGGACTAATGCATTTATTGGCTCAAACAAGTATTCATTATCTGTGACTGAGTTATATTGAGATGTGTTTGGCATCCATTTTTGAGTTGAGTTGAAGTTATCAAATGTGTTCATAAAAGGCTACTGAATCCATCATATAAATTGATCAGATAAATCAAGTGTCCTTAATCTGATTGAATGATGTTGTCCCTGAGCAATTTTCTTCTCTTTCTCCCAGATGTATTTCCTCAGCAGATTGAAGGTGTCAAGATGATTATCAACAAAACTGTGAGCAGCTTCTTCAAGGTGATGCTTGCCATTTACATTATATTCTACGCAGCCTCATTGGATTGAATTCGAATTTTGTTTCGGTGTAACCTGTGGCGAGTTAAAAATGTAGATTCATATTACGGTAAATGCTTGTGTTTGTCATCAGGTCAGTCATACCCTCCACCTCAGTGCCGTCAGCCCTTCGTACTATCGATTCCATGTGGAGCACCTGCAGTCTGACGATTACAGCAAAGACAAAGTACAGCATGAATAATGTGGTTGAGTATGCGTCGTATAGGCACACACTCAAGTTGCATATTGATCCTTCATATACATCCAGGATGCCCCCGCATTAATTGGTGAGATGGATTCCTCAGGCAGTCTGAATGCTCATGCTTTGCTGCATCTCACTGAGCGCGTCCGAGCCAGATCGGTTTTCCAGGTAAAAAAACAAACAAACAAAAATCCCCCCCACTTTGTTCTGTCTCTTCTGTAAAGTAAAATCTGCTCAGCCACAAAACATTGAACGATCCCCACTTTCATTGCGTTTCAGACCCAGCAGTCCCAGTTTGTAACGTGGCAATTTGAAACGGAGTACAGGGGGAGTGACTTCACCGCTGCTGTAACGGTAGCTAATCCAGACGTGCTTAGAGAATCGGGTGAGACCCGATACTTGTTGACTTTAACCTGCACCATGTATATGATCCAATAGAGCAGAGCTGTCAGACACCATTGTTGTATGTAAATGGCCGATGGCATTCTGTGGCCAACCCATACAAAGGGGAAATTGGGATGTTCCTGGCATGCTGACATGGATGCAGTATTCTTGGACCACTTCATACTCTGCCACAATTTTTTTTTTTTAAATAGCTGAAAATTCTATTATGGTAAAATAATCAGTTTTAAGTAAAGAACATTTGATTCTTACAGACAACATCATAATAATTTCTTTCACACCATATCAAACAAACATAGCTGAGATGTATTTTTTTTAGCATGATTTTTAAAATTTTTGGGGGGCGAGACATCTCTACATTATCAAGTATCTGCACTTGGTATCCGCACATGCTCAAATATGTGGATACCAGTACAGGTATGTGTCGTCTGAAAAAAGTGCCATTGCTGCATCCCTATTTGTTACTGTGGATGTAGCTGCAGTGGTGAGCAACTGCACGCCATCAAACTTCAATGTGGTTTCTCTGATTATTATTTTTATTATTATTATTATTATTTATTTAAATCACATTTCTATGTATGTCTTTTCTCCCGAGCAGTTATCCTAGTGGCACACTTTCTGCAGAGTGTGTCCTCTGGTCTGGTGTTAGGAGGTGAGCTGGTCTACCACAGAGGCAGAGCAGAAGAAGGTGGAATCCTCACACTGGCTGGACAGTATTCAAGTGGGAATTCCTTGTGAATTAAGTAAATGTAGCCGTAACATTGAGTCAACTTTCGGTGGATCTCACAGCTTTTTTCTCCACCCTATTTTTTTTTTGTCCAGGACCAAACTGGGTGGCAACACTGAATGCCGGGAAAGGAGGAGCCCATGCAAGCTACTATCATAGAGCCAACAAGCAGGTGCTGAATCAAATATGACATAAAAATGAATGCAAGTAGTTTTTGTACTATTTATGTGTATGATATGTGGGCTCCCTAGATCCAAGTAGGGGTGGAATTTGAAGCCAGTACCAGGACTCAGGAGACCACAACCTCATTTGGGTACCAGATGGAACTACCAGAAGCCAACATGGTCTTTCGAGGTCTGCATTTTTCAATTGTATTGGTTTTGTTTTTTATCTGAAGGGAATAATTTAAGGAACCTTTGTGTCGTTGTCTTGCAGGTATGATTAACAGTCGCTGCATCATTGGAGGCGTGCTGGAGAAGCGCCTGAGCCCGCTCCCTGCCACCTTGATCATGGGTGCCTTTGTAAACCACCGCGGTGACAAGTTGCAAGTAGGTCTTGGTGTCAATGTGGGACAGTAGCCTGCTTTTTTTTTTCTTGCTGAATGACAGCTGACATTGACAACTGACATGTCAAAAAAACAAAAACAAAACTGAAAGATGCCTCCATGGCTCCATCCTGAACCAATTCGTCAAGGTGAGTCAGCTATGGGAAATGCCACAATATCGTGGTCTTGAGTCCCAGAAGAGTTCCTGAAATCAGTGCATCGTCTCTTGTAATCTACCTCTGAAATGAAAGGGGATTCCTAATTTATTTGGTTGGCGTCCTATTAAGCAGAAATGATGAGGTGGACTTTCTGAGAGGCAAAACCACAAAATGAAGGGAATACTAGCGCGGACATTTTGTTACAGAAGATTATAAATGTAAAAAAGAAAACCGTGTTATTTTAATATTTTCACTGGAATGTATGCGACTTTTCTGCATAGTTGACTAAAATCATTGCAATTTCATTGTCAAATTTGCAGATTATACACCAGTTTTGAATTGGCTGTCAGATTTTCCCACACGGTAAATTAATGCGAAAAAGAGGGTTTGATTGGACAGAAGGACCCCAAAACAGTGTATGTGTTCTGTCGAGTGTTAGTATACAAAAGGTGCTGCTACATAAAACCGAAGAGGACCAAGTAATGAACTGTATGGAAGGTATGTGCAATACTGTTCTGTATCATGCAACATGCACGATCGCACGCTCCAGTCATATATTTATTGTATTATTTATGTTATTTAACAAGGGGACATTTGGAAGGGAGTGCATTTTTGGACTTAATTTATTAAACAATGTTATTTATATCATTTATCACTGTGGTTGTTTCTTCTTCTTATCCATGCACCGGCCATAACATTAGGTACACCTTTTCTGCTGCAACTCTTCCGTTAGCTGCACCTTGATTATAAAATGAGCACAAGCTGCATGAAAGGGGTCACTCGTTCAAAATTCTTGAAACGTGTGCTCAGTGTCGACTTTGCAGAAACGTTATTTTCGGTTGAGTTGAAAGTATAAAGATCCAGAAGTTTGGATTATTGTGTTGAAGCAGGCTCTCAAAAGGCTGCGAAGCAAAGCAAGAAACATCCCAAAATACACGAAATCTCAAATCACATTTTAATACAAAGCAATAAAAGTTGAAAGTATTACTCTACTGTACATTCATAAATACAACTATATACACAATTGCTTGTTATGGTACAAAATTAGTTAGTTTGATGTGCGGTCCCTTTGAAATCAATTTTCTGTTTTCTGATGTGTTATTTGTCTTTGAAAAGAGATGAGAAGAATCCTTTTCCTGCTTCGCCTTTTAATTTCAAAGACTTGCTTCTTTGGAGTCCTCCTATGCTACCGCGCTCTCGCTCAACTTCTTTGAGTCTGTCCTCCTCCTTCTGGAGCACTTGCTGATTGATTACCAAGCGCATATCCTCCTGCCAGACAGGTTGGGGAAAGGAAATACATCTTTGACTGGACATTTCATTAGGTCGACACTCTAATGAGATTTAATACAAAATTTGTACGACGTGTCTGATCCGGATAGAAGATAATAATCTGAGCTATCGTTTTAACCCGGCATCTATGCTGCATCTCTGCACAATACTCATAAAAAAGTACTGATACCACACACCGATACCACTGACATATACCTTCCGAGTTGGAGCAACGTCATCCATGTCGAGATACTTTAAGGTCAACAGGAGTGACAACAATTTTAGCTGACTATAAATGATGTTCTGCTCAGGCGGCAACGACGAGCAAATAGTCGAACCCTGAACCGAACTGTGAGGCAAAAACGTGCTAACAAACTATGACATAATGCTGCTTCGTGAGTGCGTGTCCAGTCTATTTCAGACATACCTGCCAAGCATCCAGCTCTTGGGACAGCGCCACCTTGTGTCGGATGGTGTTGAGGAGCTGATGGGTCAGTAAGTCTTTCTCCTGTCGAACCGTGACCAACTCGCTCTCTAACGAACTGGACATGGGTGAGTTAATTAGCATGATATTTATGAACATACCAGATTACATAAATATATTTTTTTGTGAAAATGGTGTGTATCTTTACCTATACTTTGGCGCGTCTGGACTGCCTCGAAATGGCTTGATTTCCTCCCTCAGTGATTCCAGTTCTTCTCGTTGGGATTCCAACTGAGAAGTTGGAAACATCGGCCGTCAGTCATGTGAGATACTGTCCAAAAATTCTCTCTATGACGCTTTAAAACCGATCCTCTCATGAAAATGGCCTTTATCTAATCTACGCTGGTGGTCATTTGCTTACCCGAGCTTGACACAGAGCCATTTTAACAGTCGCACAACTGTCGATTTGCATACTGCACAGCACTTTTTGTATGTTAGGGTATCACTATATGATATGGGTAAGATAGTTTCTTGTATGATTCACGTTACATCTAGTTGTGAACTGTTCAAAGAGTGCGAAATGATTCCATGCAAGCTGCATAAAATGAGACCTAAATGAAGTGCTGCACTGCCAGTGGAAAACTTATTGGTAGTTCTCCGGAGGTTCAATACTGGATTGATTATTGTACAGTGGACCGTTACTTCTTTACACTTCTAATGTAATATCGTATTGTACAAATTCAAACAGTCCTATGATAATGTGCAGTAGATGGGGACACTTGAACATCCGAAGTATTTGAAATATTACGACCCCCTCCTGAAATCAAATAGACGGGCTTCAACGCCAAACAGTGAGCTGAGTGATTCTCCAAATGCGGTACTTGGACGAATCCCTGCCTGGGTACAGTTTGGTTCTCGTCAGTGTTTTAAATACAACACATTTGCATTTCATCTTGAAAATAACATTGATTCATGCTCATTAAAAAATACGAAACGCCAGTTTGCGGTGATAGACGCGGTTTTAGAAGCAATGGATATACACATAATATCGGCATGCATTCTTTATCCTCTACTAAAAGTAGTAGGAGTAGTAGTAATAGTTTTTATTCTTTGTATCTGCATGCCTTTTGTATTATACTGCCTCCCAGGGGCCAAGGGGGCACAGTACACAGAGAATAGGATTGCAGCACTTCAAATGTTTCATTCTTTACATTCTATTTAATTATGTCATTACCGGTACTCTGTATGAAGTAAAATATTACATCGAGTGCGATTTTTGGACCAATTAAATAAAACGAGACACTTCCCGGTGTCTGGGAATCGCTGATTGACAAAACTGAGGAGTCTCTGTATGAGTCTGGCGCGGGGTCGCTTTCAAATCAACGCCTCATTAATGATTGTGATTAACTGGCAACCTGCAGCCCTGGTTGTAGTCTGCTTTTGAGTTTGCACAAGTGGACTTTTGTGTTTTATTGTGCGTGTGCATGTGCGTGTGCGCGTGTAGAGGGCGCTTGTACAAAGTTGCTACAGACCTCCTCTTTGAGTGCCGCTATCTCATCATCTCTTGCTTGCAGGGCCGCAGAGTGAGCTAGGAGGGCATCTTTGGCCTGTGCAGTGGAGTCAGCGGGGATGGACATATTAGGCACGCAGATTTCATACATGAGCCACATTATTGGAAGTTCAGGTAATCATCGGTTAACGCTTTCTAAAATCAACCGAAGCAAAGAGTTTAGTGGTTAGTACGCACAAAAAGTAGCAGGGGTGCCACTCTGTGTGTATGCGTGAGTGCACTGTATGTACCTGGGATTGCTGAATTTCACTAAGCAGTGACAAAGGTGGTGTGTGTGTAATGTCCAGGATGCTCTCTTCTCCCAGGCTCAGGGCATTTTGTTGCAGAGAGCGATTCATGGTACGCAACTCAAACACCACCCCTTGCTCCTGCTCGAGCTACACAAACACACACACACATACACACGCGGTGAGCGAGGGATAGACGCAACGGTCTAACTCTAACAATCGGCGACTTTTGTGTGTTAGTGGCTTGCCGTTAGTGGGGAGTTGATTGATTTGCTGTTAGCGTCATCATGATAAAGACCACCCAGGCACAAAGCCCGACTTTTTACCTCTGCCTCCTTCTCTCTCAGCTGCACCTGAAGCTCCGTCACTCTGTCCCTCAGGTCGTTCCGCTCGGAGCGCAGCTTTTCGCTGTCTTCCTGGGAGGCCTTCAGCTGCGCTTCCATGTGACACAGCCGCCCCTTCAAAACTCGGCTCTGTCGGAAAGGCCAGTTACTTAATTCCTCACTTAAAAGCTTTAATTACTCTTTACGTGCAGACTAAAACACATTTCCTGGAAATTGCTGTTTTGAAACACAATTTTCAAACATCATTCCGTTTGTTTCATTTCTGCAGACTAATTGCAGGGAAGTACTGAGACACACCTCTTCAGTTCAAGTGTTGGCTTATTATTTCCTTTTCGAACTCGTAGACAGTTAGCGTCAGGGTGATATTTATACCTCTGCGAGTGTATTTTCTAATTGTGTGGAGCTGATATTCCGGCTGAAGGAGGACTCGTCCATCTCCTCTCTCAAGGTACGAATTTCCGTCCTCAGGGAATGTTCCAGCGTCACAGCCTAGAGGGGCGGCAGAGGGGAAAAGTTGACAGACGGTTCAAAGAATTAGACTCCCAGAACCTGTTTGCCTGCATTGCTCTCACTGAGTGTTTCCTGGCACTAAGTTTAGCGCACAACTGCATCAGCAAAACGCTCATCGAGATTTCAGAATTGAAACCTGCTCGATGGGTGATGACATAAAACACACCTCTGATAGCTGCTCCACCAAACGCTGGTTATGGTTAGATAACTGAGTCAGTTGCTCGCTCTCATCCCTGCGCCGGTCCCGCCCCTGAATTTGATGGCGGTCCAGCTCGGATCGTAAGGCGGCCAAATCGCCGTTCAGCTCAGCTTCCTTCTGTCCGGATGCCAGTTCATTCATATCCAGCCTCCTTTGCAGAACGTACTTCTGCTGCTGTAACATCTGAGACATTCAACATAACATTTGGGGACAGGAAGTGTCAAGTCCATTCGTTATCGATGTTTGTTTTGTCCAATACTGAAATTAATAAATGAATACACTGTAGTTATAATATATATTTATAAAATAAGAGTGCTTGATAAATGTATCATAACGTCACTTCACATCATAATATATGTACTATAGCGAACCTATATCACGAGCAAACGCAAATCTTTTTTTTAATCTATATTCGCATTCAATAAATAAAACAATTAAAAATGGCAGTGAATGTGTATCCTATTATTTAAACGAACAGGTTTAATTTTCAATATCATAGAGAGTATACTATAGATACAAATGCATTAGGTCCACTTACACAATGCAATAAGAGCTACTGCAACAGCTGTTTACAAAAATCTGAATTTATTTAAAAGTCAGTTTTGATTGAAAACGACGGACGAATATTCACTTTCCAATCTTTTGTTACGGCTTGTCACTGTCAGTAAGGTCCATTCAAAAAGTACAATTGAATGTTTTGACGCAAACACCGCGGTGTGTGTTAAGATGATACAATGTACAGTACTCTCGAGTCCACAAGACACTTATACCTCCACTTCCCTCTCTTTCTGTTCCAGAGCAGCGGCCAGTTCCTCATTCTTCTCCAGCAGTGCCTGTCCCAGCTCAGCTGCCAGAATCAGATCCGTCTCGATGCCGCCGCCGCTGTCGACGTTCCCGCGATCCGGCGTGGAGGCGGGCAGGGCGAAGGAAAGCGATATGGACGAGGAAGACGAGAGCGGGAAAAAGGAGTCCTCCAGGCTGGGGGAAGGAAGACTGCTCTTCCTGGGGCCGAACATGGTCTTGGGGTTGCGGGAGTCAATTGGAGAACAACATCCCAAGTCTGACAGGTCGGCGGGCGAACCGGATGAGAAGACTGACTTCTCTGGAAAGAGTTGTTTTGTAATCCAATTAATCGCAGTGTATTGTTCTTCCCTGTGGCCCAGATGATCCTGATGTTGGTGTCATTCACCTTTCCGGCCCTGTTTAGGACAAGTGAATCCAATCCAACTGTAAATACAGGTCAGAAGAGATTATGAGAGATCCCTCTGGCTGTCTCGTAATCTAACCTCGCATACTCTTTTGTTTGACAGCCTCTTTTGTTATGTTCAGACCGAAATGCCAGATCCATTGGAGTCATTGTTTAGATCCACTCCCTTAAATTCCATGTTTAATGTCCTCAAATGTTTTTTCCTTAACATGTCACTCAAAGTCAACAAAAAGTTCCACAAAGTATCCCTTCAATTAATCTCTGCTCATCTGATTGAGCAGTCTTCATGACACTGCCTTTCGGAGGTGTAGTTTCTCACAACAAAATATGAATCGACATTCCCCGGCCACAACTTTAGGTATGCAACCAACGTATTAAAAAGCGCCCCTCAATACATATAATGCAGTGCATCTGGACACTGAACTCAAGAAACGGCTCCTTCAAAACTCATCTTTGAAAGGGCTGTATTGTTGCCACATGCCTTTAGTTTTGATCACACACCAGACATTTTGGCTTATTTCTCATGTCAATCTTTCTCTGACTGAAACCATAAATACATGTGATATTTAAAAACAACCTTGAAATGTGATGTCAGTCCGGCTGTCCTTTTATTCAACATAGAAATCAGGAAGAAGAAGAAAAAAAAATCCACCTTACCTGAGCGTCCCCACAGGCTTCTCACGTCAAAGAGTAATAGTTTTCCTGTTTGGTGAGTGTGTGTGTTTGCTCAGGAGAGGCTCAGCTGGTTCCCTTGGCAGTGCAGTATGTAAATACAGGTAGAGGCTCCGCCTCTTGGGGTTTTGCTCTGATAGAAAGAGAGGGGGAGCTAAAAGAAAAAATCGGCAAAAGGCGTTCTGACATCTAGCGGCTGGACGAGGAAGGAAAAAAAAACCCTGGCACGGCCTCAGAGGAATACTCACTCAAGTGTGAGTGCAATGGGCCAAGTTGGCATGGAAAAAGAGGGGCCGGGTGAAGGTCCAAAATACAAGCATGAGTTTGTCAAATCCGCACTCCTCCTCCATCCACAACACCCCTCCTTCCCACCCTCCATCCTGTTTACTTACTTGAAAGCTTTCAAAGGACTTCTGTGTAAGTCGTAAGCAAGGCGGTTGAGGCGGGGTGGGAGCGAAAATAAGAAGAAATAGTCAACACCATCACAGCATCTCCCACAAACGGATAAAATCACAAGTAGAGCAGAGTGGGTCAGTGGGTGCAGCCATGCTTTGCAAATTCTTTCTGATGATCTCTCTTTGGGTTCTGTTACCAAGCTCAGATGCCGGAAGACAGATGCCTAAACTTTCTGCTCGAAAACGCTGCGCTGACTCGGAATGTAGCTGTAAGTACGCACACCTTTTACCGTAACATTGTTAAGAGTTGTTGAGTCAGGTGTTCTTCCACCCTCCCCTGTGAATGAATTTCTGTTATTTCTGCACAGATGCTATCCTGATAGCTCGTGCTGTGCAGGACTATCATCCCGCGGACTGCAGGTTCATCTCGATCAGACAGGGGCAGCTGGTTTATGTCTACGCCATGCTACAGGACACTGGCAACCTCTTCTGGGCAGGCAGTGTGAGTTAAAAAAAAAAGTGGAAGATCACACAGATTGTAAAGAAAAACGTGTTGGGACAGCTGGCCATTGCATTTACACGCAAAGTGAAGAAAATATGCCGATGGTCTTCCCTTAGTTGTAGCAGCTTCGGGAAGGCGTGGCAACTCGAGCAAAACACGAATATAAATAATTCAGTCATGACCAGAAAAGGTGAAGCAACTAATATAAAAAAAAAAAAAGATTACTGTCACAAACTAAAAGGCACAACACCTTGAGAAAAATAAAGACAAGAAAAAGGTTTTCACAAAGCCCAGGTAATGCGCTATGGACAACTCTCCTTTTATTCAGGTGTGTTTGCCAATACTTTTGTCCACATGCGGTTCTGATCAATGGCACATTAATGATGACCACTGCCCACCTGTGAAGATTAATCGTCCAAAGAAATGTCTTCTATCACACGTTCGCAGGTTCAGGATTCTTATTATGGAGGACAGGAGGCTCGTATCGGTCACTTTCCCAGCACCGTGGTGGAGGAGGTTCAAGCTCTGGAGCCAGCCAACACAGAAGTCAAGACGACCGTGGGTGAACACGCACGCAGACACAGAGTACGCCAACTAGGCACGCGCGCCGTCCGTGGTGCTCCTCATTTTTGCACTTTCACTTTGTTTTCAGAAATGGGACTTTTACTGTAACTGAAATGGGATCCATCAAAGACGTGATCAACTTGCTCTCCAGTTACCGCGCATTAGAAGTTTATGCAGCAGCTGCTTCATGAGGTACAGCTGCAGAATCTAATGTAAAGTTTTTATAGTTGTGCTTTGCATTGTTGTCGAAGCTTAACAGCATTGCTTTGAGCTTTCTCTAACAATTGTGGTTATCTTATTTAGTTCGGAGAGGAGGAAATATACTGGGAAACGTTTTTGAGTATAATGGAGTGCAACTAGTTAAATGATAACGCTTACTTTTCTCATTTAGCACTTTATGACATGCTATTCAACTCATTTTTTTTTAATTAATTGTGGTTTTGAATTAGCATCTCATGCAAAAAAAAAAAAAAAAAAAGTATTGCTGGTTAAAGTTTTAATCTCTGCAACCAATGCATCAGTGGATATTGTTTCAAGATGAAAGAGAATAAACATCACTTTGTAAAATCACCCTTAAAATCTGCTGTAGTTTGTGTCTGTACTTTTGCGTCACTGACTTTTATGGCTCCGTCCTCTCGGAAATTCCAACTTCATTGTAATATGCCACCAAGAAGAGAAACTTGACCAATGCAAACGCAGACAATTTTTTTTTTCCCAACATTTATTCTATGTATTCTCTGTTAATACACCAGGGGAGATTTAGCATTTGCAAAGAATGATAGGGATCATCATTGAGCACATTCTCACTCTCTTTTGGCATTGACCACACACTCGCATCATACACATACATAAATACAAGTTATCCCTAACACTCGAGTAAAACCCTGCTTCCCTGTGGAAAAGGATGACCGTATTTCCTCCTCCATCCAAAACTCCTTCAACCCATTTCTCCCCCCCCTCCCTCTCAGCAGAGCACAGACCTGGTCCCGCGTTCAACACATACAAAGGTAACAGACTCGCACTCATCCAAGCACCGCTACAATCACCTTTTGGCGTAGAAGCTTTGTCTCCCATCTAAGTGACTGTTTGAAACTTTGAAGGCAAATTCAAAATAAGAGCACTTTTACATTCAAGGTGGCGCAGGTTTTTTGGTTTGTCCATGATTTCTGAAAGGAAAATTGTACTCCAACCAAAACTCCCGGCTTTCCATATCAATCTGTGGTTTAAAGCACAGTTGTCTTGCAGGCATGCGACGATAGTAGTAAGTTAGAAACTGGTTTATTAGAAGGCTCGTTGCAGGAATCTCGACACGGCTGACCCACCTATACGTGCACTCAACTGCCCACAAAACAGGTTAAATACAAACACGTGCGGAATTTAGTAGTGAGGATTAGTAGTGAAACTGCGTCAAAGGCACCCCGACTCCGCTCTACATTTTCTGCTTGGCTGCTCCATCCTCACAGGATATTGGGATGTTGCGCTCGGGGCCGGGTGAAGACCTGGGCGCGGTGATTGTCAGCACGCCGTCGAACGACAAGCTGGAGGTGATATCAGCGCACGACACTCCGGTGGGAAGCCTGTACTTCCGCAGAAACTCCCTGGACACGTAGCCGTGGTCGTCCTAGAGAGTCGGGGACACGACAGTCAGCCGTGTGGACTTCAGTCATCCTACGTCGCGTCGTGAGGATTTCACTGACCTGTCTGTCTTCGTGCTTGGCGTGTATTGTGATGAACTCGTCGCCGACGTTGACGCTGAGCTCATCCGGTGAGAAATGCTTCACATCCAGATAAATCACATAGCGATCCTTTTCCGCGTACATCTAGGGGTTAGAGGTCACACCTGTTAGGAAGACTACGGAGAAGCCTGGGATTCAACTACCGCCTCGAAAAATGAAGACTCTGTGGGCACCTTACCTCACTGTGTCCATTTTCAGGCCAGTTTAACCAGCGCATGAAACTGGGGCGCATCCAAGCAAAGGACCATGGGAAAGGCCAGATGAGAGGCCAGTCAGCGAGAGACTCGATGAAGGACACGTCGGGACGTCGATATGGGAAGGCCCGGCGGTACCAGGGGTACTGAATGGGAATATCCATGATGAGTATCCGGAAGAGGTGAAAGAGCGATGGCGTGTCTGAGGGTGACACTTGGTCTCAGATGGGTGCTCGCTGTGCTTTCCTGCAGCACATTTATAGCACTTTCCCCTCCCATCCCACCCCGAGTGACTCTGTCCACACACCCCACCATAGCAGCCCGGTTGTGCAGCGGCCCTGCCAACAGGCTGATCTTTCTGGAACAATGATGTCAACTGTTTGTCCGACCATCGCCCTCATTGTTTCTTCTCCCCAACGGTGGCTGGCCGTCTCTCCCTCCCTCTATCTGTTCCTCTCCCTCGCCCTCTCAGCGTCTCTCTGCCTCTCCTATCTGCCCGGTCATAAGGTGACATTGGCTGGGAATACTGCTGATGTCGACTATTTCTCTACCCAGGAAATGCCCCCGTCTGGATCCCCGTGCACGTGTTTGTATGAGGACGAGCTGCCAGAGCATTAGCCTACTGGCCCATGGGTGCCAGAAGCTTTAGCGCCGCGAGCAGAGTGGATGTGCGGCTTGAATGGGAAATGATGAGTTTGTACGGTGCTGCATTAGGTGGCAGCCAAAGCGCGTATCATTTTTGCTGCAATACAGGGTGTCACTAAGATGTGAGGCCATCAGCATTTGAACTTAGGCTGTGCAGTTTTTGTCAACATTCCATTCTGTTGCCAATGGCTTGCCAGTTGACACCAACAATATTGCAAAGCTGTTACCATCACATTGCACACCTGTGTATCATAATATGTAAATATATGTTGAGGTATGGGCGGCAAGGTGGGCGACTGCTTAGCACGTCGGCCTCACGGTGCAGAGGTGCAGGGTTAAATTTCAGCTCCGGCCTTCCTGTGTAGCATTTGCATGTTCTCCCTGTGCCTGTGTGCGTTTTCTCCGGGTACTCCGGTTTCCTCCCACATTCCAAAAACATGCATGGTATCTTAAATTGTCCCTAGGTGTGACTGTGCGTGCCGATGGTTCACGTTGTGCATGAAGAGTCCTGAAGATACATCTTGCATGATAGTGCCAATTTCTCAACAAAGGTGATCAAACCAACTAACGTGTGTAACTACACGTCACGTACTGTATTCACAATACCGCATCATGACTGTAGTTTTTATCTCCACAAATGCAACTGCGACGTAAAACTTTTAAAATTCCGACTTTCTTTGATGACTTGAATGCATCACTGACAACTGTCCGACTTTGCTTTGTTTAGCGTCGTTACCATGGTGATCTCCCCCCTGCCCGTCCCATGCTTGTTGATGAGTAAAAAAAAAAAAATACTATTATGGCCTCGATGGATTTACCAGCGACCTATTATGGCAAAATTGACAAAAGAAACCCGGTCATTGTATCTTTTGAGCGAGACATTAACTCGTTTATGACAGTAATGAAACGAGTGGCGTCCTCCACCTGCCAGGACAACGTGTCTTATGCTAAAGGGTAGGCTAGCTAACGTCTAAATATTGTACGCTTTATTTTGCTTTGGAAGTCGCACGGCGGTTTTTTTTTTTAAAATATATATATGTTTTAGGACTATATTTTATCTTATCAACAAAGTTCTTAATATTATGAACAAAAAAAGTATTGGTTTTTGGTTGTACTGTAGTTACATGTTGGGGTTATGGGCCAATGTTCCATGATGTTACTTTTCAGTAAAATGAAATTTTGGAAGGAATTTGAGTATACCGTATCCTTGAGACTTTATTTTAGGTGGTGTACTGTATGCTTATCAAGCTACCAGTGCATGATACACATTGGGAAAAATATCATCATGTTGGTCTTTTGTTTTAATAACGTTGAAAGGGTTACACTGCTGGCTGAGATCTGGCGAAACTTCAAACCACGTCTGCCTTTTAAATTGTACCAGGAGCGCATGCTACAGATTGGAGATTTTCTCACTGGATTAAAGGTAATAAATTGTCACATTGCCTGCCTGTTTTGAGTCATTTGAGTTATTTTTATTGATTTGTCTCTTCTCTACTCAGTTGTACCAGACGGCTCTGTCGCAAGGCTACAGTCTGCACCTGCTTCAGTTCTGTTCAACTAGTATAACCGACATTACAGATGTGGAACACTTCTTGAAGTGCTTCTTTCCTGAAGGTTTTGATACAGACCAAGATGTCTTCATCATGAAGGTATTCTGTTGCGGTACTCTGATTGTTTTTCTTCCTCGCCACGAAAAGTCTTGCCCATGCGGTGTTATTATTTTTGGCTGCTGGTTTGTGTGTGTAGGTCCGTTCAATGCTGGGCTGTGCACTGTGCATATTTGAGCTGGAGAAAAAGCCCATGGTCCTCAGCCAGAAGGGGCTTTTGAAACTGCTGCATGTGCTGAACTTTGTCAGGATAATGATGCAGGCGTTTCACCAGAACAAGCACCTCTGCTGGATAATTTATAACGGTAGACTAGTTTGATTCTTTTTTGTGTCGTCGGTTCTTTGGGTGAAATAGGTCACTAGTCGTTTTCTTCCCGTTACCTGCCTTTTCCAGGTACGTTGCAGATCTTCAAAATGTGTAACTACCTGATGGCACTGAATCATAGTCCGAAGGTATGCCGTCTAAGATACTTAAAATTCTCCTTTCACGTAAAGCAACATGTTGTTTTGTAGTTGCAAATCCACTGTCCACACTTCCCTTTTCTGATCCTTCTAGGCAATGGAGTACCTTCTTTGGGCAAGCCTCACTTTAGAGTCAAACATGCCCATCATGACTGTGAAACATCTGCCATGGCTTGTCAAACTCTACTGTACTGCCTGTCACTGTTACTATGACAACCAGGCTTCTCTACAGGCAGAGGTGAAACCTTCTCGTCACACTGTTCAGACACCTAAATGATGACAATGTCGGAGCAACCTCAACCATCTTCGCAATCTAGAGGAAGTCTTGTTTTAGTTTTATATTCCTGCATTTTTGAACGGCTTACAGGAATTTGCCCGGAGAGCACTTGGAAAAATCAATGACCTTGCAGAGCAGGAGAAGGAGAAGGAGAGTGGTGGTCCCGCAAACAAAGAGACTCAAATGGCCTTCAGAGAAGCCTCCATCAAGGCATTGGACCACTTTTATATTTCATTAATTCTATCATACTTTGCTGCAATTTTTTTTCAATATCTATGGAAAACGTTTAAAGCATAAGAAGGGCAAATCTTGATGAATATCTTTTTAAAGTCTGAACCACCCCTTTTTCTTTTCTCTCTTTCTGCAGTTTAACTTGTGATGCATTCTAAGTTAAAATTTACATTAAAATGGACTTTATTTTAATTCGTCACTTAATATATACATTTTTTTTTCTTCTAGCTGGCTGTCATGATGTTCAAGCGGGCTGTGTTTGAGACCAGGAGGAAACCCAAACACATGATAACAATCAAGAGCAAAACCACTCCCAAAGACTTTCCAAATGTAAAGAAAAGATGGGACATCAATATTAAGTTTAAAAGTCAATATTGAATTGAAAATTTGCATTGCTGCTAGAGTTAGGGTTTTTTTTCTTCTTCTTTGCTATTGCTTGGCATTGTCATTCGTTAACATGAACTAAAAGAGTCTGAATGTGGCCCTAGATACCGTGGCCACGTAATGCCACAGAGCGAATGCTGATGGGCCTTTTTGACAGCAGCGCATCACAGTTTTTGGGCATCTGCGAAGCACTTTGGGACAGCTCCATGCGCCCGTTGCAGACAAGGCTGCCGGAAGAACTCGAGCTGCAGGAGGTGGTCCTGGAGCTCTTTGCCTCTGGTATCAGTATATTATCTGGTAGGTCCAAAAAGAAGAAGAAGAAGACAAAAAAAAAAGCACAATTTAATCCAGAGAAAATGTGGCCGGTGGGGTGATTGGAATTTCTATGTTTTATCAAGGAGTGGCTAGCACCAGTGACCAGAAACGTCAAGAACAGGCTTGTGTTCCTCTCAGTGCGCTGTCCACAACATCAACTCTGATGGAATTAGCTATTGCAGGTAAGTCATGATCAATGTATATATTTTTTTTACTTCCATACATGTTCAACAGACACTGAATACTTTTTGTGAGTCGTCATGTGTTGTTTCTCTCCAGGAGAACACAAAGTGCCCGTCACGACCGCCGTCAGGTTCATTAAGTTGATGATTCAATACAAGCAACCGGATGTTTTTGTTGAACATTCACGACTGATGCTGGAGATTTTATCCGTGAGCTCTTCTGTGTTTGTCCAGTTTAGTAGAAAAGTCGACGAGAATCTCAGACGTGCTGTCTTAATGGACGCCCCCGTGTTTGTCAGGTTGTGGAAGGTCCCGCATTCAGGAAGGCAGAATACGAGCTGGCCTTGATCAATGGTTTCCTCACTCTGAAGTCCTCCCACAGAAGGCGTCTTAGAGAGGACGTCGGTAGTAGAAGTGATTGTCTAGTGCAATGTTTGCCAACCTTTGAAATTTTTATTTTTTTTACACACACGAACCCACCACCAAACACTTATGCCACAATGCAATATCATTGGCGGGCCGTTTCAGAGAATCGTGCCATTTGCATTCCGAGGAAATAAAATGTGTAAATGTATGATAAAATTATCTGTAAATTACATTTTCCAATTAAGCAAAATATCCTATGAATTGATATAACAAGCAAAATGTGGTGGATTGATGAAATGAGGATATGCGGTGTCAGTGAAAGAGCATTTATTTGTTTTGGCTGTCACTACATGTCACTTGCATAGATAGATGAGCAAAAAAAAAAAATCTAACAAAAAACGTTGTAGTTAATAATAATTGTCACTCAGCACACAAATGTACCACAGCAAAGTGGTTGGGAAGCCCTGGTGTGGCGTATGCCTCCCATGTAAACATCTCTCAAGAGCAAAATGATGACCTATCTGATGATTGCGTTGTATTCACATCAACACCTGGTCTTGTTCATCGATGTTTTCCGCAGACAAATACAGAGGGTCCCTCGATAGCATCCTTGGCTTGACGGAGACTCTGCACAAGGCAGTTTGTGATTCTGTCCCCGTAAGTTTTATATTCGACCATATTAATGCCGTGGCTTGTGTTCGTAGTCACGTGTAACGTGTCCGTGCGGGGTTGAGAATTTCCCCACGGTTTGTCTTAAAAGAGCACGGATGTCTTGCGTGTGCGGATGTGCAGGAGGCGCAGCCAGATGTGGAACTAGTTTGGG